TTTATCTAAAGGTCCGGAATTTTTTCTTTCAAGGATGGAGTGGTTTGTATCACTGCTCACTTTGTCATTGAATAAAAAATTATCTCTGATTTTTTTTTTCCTTTGAAATTCTCTCAAGAACGCAGGAAATGCCATTTCAAAAGGTTCAATTTTCAAAATTAACCCCACCCCGGCGCTCAATAGTCCATCAGACAGTGAAAAGACCCCCCCCCCAAAAAACAAAACAATAAATAAATAAAAATAAAAATCCTGGCATGGAACTGAGTTGAATTGGGGTTAAATTCCAACAACCGGCAAACAACACTACTGGCATTTATGGTCACTGTTCCACGGTCCAGCTAAGGCCACACCGACTTAATTTTATGGATGACATCCGCGCGCGCATTGATTTTCGTCTGTTCTCAAAAAAAAAATCACGTCTCTGGCCTGGATAGTCCATGGTAGCTTGTTATATAGCGACGGTAGTAACGCTGGAGGATGGCACCCAGGCTACCGAAGCTCCACGACTCAAGACCTCAGTACATACGTACAGTGTCGATTCATAATCCGCAAAAAGCCAGCATGTCGCTATGTTCTGCCTCAGTTCTGACGCAAATTCACAATACCAGCTTTGCCTTTGTATACCTGTGGTTTAGTAGCATTTTTATTTTTGGCCGGATTTTTATTTTATTCGCCCGCGCGCACTAGTTTGGGGGTCTTCAGAGAATGTCATCCATAAAATTAAGGCGGTGTGGCCTAAGTAAGGGTAAGGCGGGTTTTTGTACGATGGCGTACGTGTGAGTGTGGTAGTAGCGATATAGTACGAAAAAAATCCCTCCAAGCCTTTCTGAAACCGGGTCAGCGTGTTGTTAACTCACATGTCTTGGCACAATATGGGAAAACATTTTATATAAGGACACCGTGTCTAGCCAAGAATGTAAGGAATCGAACCCATTCAACGGTCTTGGTACGGATGTGTTTTATTGTCTTAGATCCCTGTCGTTCAGTGGTTACATGGTGTGTCACAGTCTGCCTGAAAATTTTACAAAATCTCACAACGGACATTTTTTTATTATTCAGAAGCACAGTGATGAATACAAATAAAAGGACATGGACTAAGTGACTGCGAACTCAAGTTATACAACTTATATTTTACAATTAAAAAAAGGCGTTTACAAGACATTTGAAAAACTATGGATAGCATGAGTCAAACCTCCCATCCCAGAAGAGAAGGAAAGCATAGCAGGACACATACAACTAAAAGCGTTGTGTTTCTGTGATGTAGTTTTGCGCGGCTAACATTTCATTTGGGGTTGTTGCATATTAAACACTTGAGGAACGCCTCCGGGGCAATGGACCCCAGCGCCTTACGAAATAGATCGCCGCCTACCTGCGCATTAGGTGGCATTAAAAAGTGTTTTCTGTGAAATTCCCCGAAATTAGATCAGCTTACACAAGCCGCAAGCCTCACGGGCATGAAATCTATAAAAGGGAACTGGAATCCGTGACGCGTCAATGATCATCCACTAACACAATCGAGTTAAGAACGTTCGATTTAACGTACAGAACGTTATGAAACAAGTAACGTTCGTGGGGTCGTGTGGCGTAGTGGCAGAGTGTGCGACTCGGAACTTAGAGTCCCGGGTTCGAGTCCTGACATGCTACCGATCTTGTGCCCTAGGCCTTGGGAAAGGCACTTTACGCGACTTTCCTCACTCAGCTCAGGTGTAAATGAGTATTGTCCTGTCATGTATTTGTGTCCCCTGTGTTGGTGGCGGCATTAATATAAGTTGAAAAAACTTGAGTGTGTCGTCACCACGTCTGGTGATTACATGTTGGAATAAAAAAAAAAACAAGTAACGCAGAACTAGGCCGTTCCTCTCGTGAAGCTGGTAAATAAACACAGCACGATGTCTCGCCGTCCTGTGGTCTTTCTGCGTCAGAGGAGGATTCTAATGTCCTCTGACATTTGGGACAATCTAAAACGTACTCATTGGCAAAATAACTTCATGACAACAAGTAAAATGAGTTCTTAGATCTCCAAGTAGGCACAAATTGCTGTCTAGCGATTTCAGATGTGTATCTTGTACTGGCCTTCGTGACAAAACTAGAGAGCTACTCTATGTTACCCACAGATAGGTCACATATCATATGGTGCTATCATTGTAGGATTGCAAACTAATGGAGTTCTTGATCGTGGGACAGTCGTGCATATCCTGCAAAATCGCACGACGATCTACAACAAAGTCACACATTACGACTGATCACATTGTGTACCTGAGAAATGCTAGGTTACGTTTCGTTACAAACATTAGTTTTTTTATCTTTATTCCAACATGTTATCACCAGACGTGGTGACGACACACTCAAGTTTTATCAACTTATATTAATGCCGCCACCAACACAGGGGACAAATACATGACAGGACAATACTCATTTTCACCTGAGCGATGTGAGGAAAGTCGTGTAAAGTGCCTTTCTCAAGGGCACAAGATCGGTGGTATGTCAGGACTCGAACCCGGGACCTTTAGGTTCCGAGTCGCGCACTCTGCCGCTACGCCACACGACCCCACCAACGTTAGTTTGGTCTCAAGAACGTTTTTCTATTAACATCAAAAACAAAAGTAGGTCAACTTACTAAGTATAGGCTAACGTACTCGTGAGGGTTATATAACGTCGTGCCTAATTAACGCCAGAAGAGCATTTTAATCTCTTCTGTCAGTTCACATTCCCAAAAATATCATTGCTGGCAAAATAACATCATAACAAGAGGTGAAATGACTTCTCGGTTCTCCATATATAGACTTGCCTGTCTTGTGTAAGTAATTTCAATTTCAGATTTGTGTTTTTCTCCTGGATGTCGTGACAAGACTCGAGAGTCACTCGAGGTTATCCGCAAAAGTAGGTCACATACGTCTCACGGTTGCACACTGATGGCTCGGGATAGTCGTGATTGTAACGTGCAAAATCGTATGACAACTTACGAATTTGACCGCGTCGTTACACATGACGAATTGTTAGGTGAGAATTAAATGCTACGTAGTGTTTTGTTACACAAGTAGGTTTCTTCAAAGAGCATTCTATTATTTGACAAAACTTAGTTTTGTGAACGTTATATCAACAGCGAAACATGGGGTCGTGTGGTGTAGCGGCAGAGTGCTCGAATCGGGACCTAGAGGTCCCGAGTTCGAGTCCTGACATGTCACCGATCTTGTGCCCTTGGGAAAGGCATTTTACATGACTTTCCTCACTTCCTTCAGGTGAAAATGAGTATTGTATTGTGCCCTGTGTTGGTGGCGGCATTAATGTAAGTTGAAAAAACTTTGAGTATGCCGTCACCACGTCTTGTGATTACATGTTGGAAATAATAATTTAAAAAACATCAAAACAAAAAATTGGGTCAAGATATTCGCAAAGATTGTATAAAATGGTGTATGATTAGCACAGCACGGAGTCCAGCCACCCTGTGGTAAGCTTGCGTCACGCAAGAGACGTATTATAGTCTCTTCTGACGTTTCAGAAAATCGCAAAAACATTATTACTGGCAAATGACTACACAAGAGGGGTCTTCACTGATAGATTGCCTGTCTTGTGCAAATATAGACTGGTTTATTGTTGATAAACAAATAAATCCCAGGACCCACTGGCAGCCGAGATGCATTCGGCTGAATTGTTGGGTCTGGTTACAAAATACAACATTATTGCGATTACAAATGGGCTGTACAGCTGTTTACACACATAGGGATAAAATTTAACAATTGTTTAAAATCTTGAATACACCATACTATTATTACAAATATTGAAATATCTTAAAAGAGTAAATCTGAAGTACTAATGTCAGATTTGTATTTTTCATGAAAAGGCTCAAGAGTCACTCGAGGTACCCACAATTAGGTCATGACGTCGTTCTATCATCCTACGAGGTTACAGTCCTACAGGCCGCATCTTAAGCTTAGGAACTCCATCATTTTGCAATAGTAAGAGAACTACAACTACAAATGTGTCCGCGCCGTTGCATTAGAAATGGTAAGCTGGGAAGTTCTTGAGTTTTGGTGTTGAACGACTGAATCATTATCTTATGAATGTCATTAAAAATCTTCAATAACTACTTGAAAACTTACGACTGAATCATTATCTTCTTAATGTCCATTGAAAATTTTTAATAACAACTTAAATCATGCGTAAGAGTCCTTTTCTTCACCTTTTGCCTACCTTTAGGCATAGTTTTAGGTTCCGTAAAGATATGATTTCGCGCAGTGTTATCTAGTCACGTTTATTGGGCCTAAGGCCGTGTTTATGTGAAGTCACCCAAGGCGCTTTACATGTGGTTTACCCCGAAGCCGGTTTCAAATGGCTCCATCTGAACGCTCCAAATCACATTGAAAGCGCCTCGATCCCAAGCCACTTCTAGAGGTGGTTTCGAATCGGTTTCCCCGCATCGCGATTTGCGTCTGAACGCAATGTGATTTCAATGTGACTTTGCCTGGTCATGGATTACGGGATGATATTTCTTTATTTATATGCAATACCAAATTTTACGTGGCAGCAATTTAAAGAGAAGTAATGGTCAAATAATGTGTCCGTTCTAGGACGAGCTTCACTGCCTCTGGCGGGACCACGTCGGCATTCGGCCGAGGTACGCTGGGAGGGGGGCACCAGCAAGCAGGTCGTTGACCCCTGACATTGATAACACGCTACCTTGCGTGTTTTCATCAACAACAATGAATGCAGTTTCGTAGAATCGTGATCGGACACGGTTTGCAAGGAATGTATGGCACGTGGACCAGATGTGAGGAATGTGAGTTACCCGAATCGTGGTTTGGGTGACTTCACATAAACACGGCCTTAGTCCTCGCGTCCTCGACCCTCTAGTGACGTCGTTACGCCTGTGGCACCCCTAAGGTGCCGTGGACACCTGTCGGGACAAGATAGTACCTGTGCAGGCGTTCTCTAGTCAACATAATAGATTCTATTATCCCTACGTGTTAACTGGGATCATCAATGTTTCTGCCAGCAGGGAAGGTTAACGTCGTTTTTCTTTCAGCTGTTGTCATCAGGGGTTTCCAATGAAGTTTTAGGGTTTGAAGACGGATGTTGAATGCGGGAGACACTGGAATCGTGTTGTCTCCCACTGGTCTTATCAAGCCCCTACAGGCTTCACGACTACAGGAGGATTTTATCTTGGTTTCTCCTCAGTGAGTCAATCAGGATTGAAGAGAAAAGAAATTGTTCACCAGAGTCATTTACACGTCTCCTGCATAATGGACATGTTGGTTAGCTCCTTTCTCGGGACTTTCCAAGTGCCAAGGTCTCCACAAAAATGTTTCAGAAACTAGAAACCACGACAGACCATACACCAGGCCATTACACTTTTACAGTGTATTTGTGCAAACTTCCCAGCTCTCTAGGTCCAGGGCACTAACCATTGCAAACATTGTGCATATTTTACGTCCCGTGTAGTTATTTTTTGTCTGAAAAATAACATTAACAAGCCCCCGATAAGTCGAAATGCTTAAGGTCTGCCCATGTCCAGCTGGGTCTGTCGTAACAGTTGCGTGCATAAAAACAGCCGGGTTTAGAACCCTTAACCTTCTGATCCAGAGTTAAGGCGGGTGGCACCTGAGTCACATGAGTGCAGTCAAGCGAAAGTCGTTTGGCAGGTTTCCCGCGCGTGTTTGAATGACTGACGTCGGCGAGCCTTTGAAGTCACCACGTGCATCCTGCCGGCCCACCTCGTGCACAGGTAGTGACTGGTGCCACCTCATTGGTCAGTATATCTCTCACCCGGTACCCGCCCACCGACGTGCCCCCCTCCCCACCTAACTACCGCCACGTTACGGGTTGCTTTGTGCTAAAATGTCAGCTGAGAACGTGGTGAATAATATCATGGATTTGCTGGTGTCTGCTTAACATGGATTACCAAACACCTGTGTAAATGATATCTTCAATGCTTATATTTCTTCATTGTGTACTTATGAGTAATGTTATAGGGACATATATTAACTAAAGTAATTCTTATATCGGTGCCCTGAATTTAGACACACGATGTAAACAGTTAAAAGTCTGGTTATTTGCATACATAATGACATCTTCTGACAATACTGTACAACAAAAACTCAAAAACTGTGAGTTCGTATCTACCTGTTTTAAAAAGAGGGAAGCGAAGAAACACGTAAATGACACATGTAGCCTTGTGTGTTCGTCCGTTTGTAGACAATAGATGTAGTGCAGAATAGCTTTAGTTGTATTGCTTCTATGGCTGGACTACGTGTGAAACGTTAACTACGAGTACTGCATTCAGCACACATGGACAAGAATAATAAGTAGCCAAACAATAATCACGTAACACGACCTTGTCGCACGGTGTATAAATGTGTTCGTTAAAATTTCAATAGCTCCTTTGAAGACCCCGCTACTTCAGATCCCCTTGTAACCTATTAACTTCCACAGGGTTGGAGGCATTAATGAGCACATGTATCACACATAGTCCTCTTGACATCAAAAAAGCCGGAAGTGAACCAATCATTAGTTGTGCACTGTTCACGAAGTCATATAATAGCAAGACAAGCAGTAGTAGTATTACGGTACAATCCATTTTCGTGTCGATTTTCTTTCAGGTCATAAGATAGAATGTCAGGGCTAAACAAAATATAACACGGGTACATGTTGCATGATCGATATCCTCAGAACGTATAATTTCCCTGGTTTTAGATATTTAATATATAGCAAAGAAAAACTTACAGTCTTCGTGCAATTCGATAAACTATTAATTATATGTAAAGCTCCGTCAGTTCTTACACTTACAACCGTCTTAAGAAGCGAGAAGGAGTTGAACTTGTGTACTGTAGATGTAGTACGAAAGCCAGACTTGTCTTGTTGTAATCTCAATAAAGAAAGGAAAGAAAGAAAGTCAGAAAACAGCTCGGTTTCCCGCCCCAACATCTGCTTGAAGACTATCTAAATATTTGCTCAACACCACACTTCTATAGAAGAACTTAGAGGCGGCCAGTCTCAGGTGTCGTATGACTACTAACTAAAGGTTTACCGTGACGGCAAATTAAGGAGGGCGGTCTTGGGAAAGTCGTGGTTTTGTCGCACAAACGTCAGCTGTCTTGTGACGGGACAGGTTGACACGTAGACTCTCGTCGATCAGCCATCGCTGAAAACCGTCCGATGAATGAAACCGAGCCTTAATAGGCCTATTGTATCCAGAACCGTACCTATCTAGTTCTATGCCTGAATGGGATAAGGGTATAAGGTTCAGACACTGTTCTATATAGTCTCTGCGTATCCCAGAACGTAGATTTGCCCAAGGTACGGTTCTGGATACGCGTGGACTATCTAGAACCGTGCCTGAATGGTTCTGGACATAGTCTGAGTATTTAAGAACGTAGATTTGCCCCAGGTACGGTTCTGGATACGCGTGGACGATCTAGAACCGTGCCTGAATGGTTCTGGACATAGTCTGAGTATTTAAGAACGTAGATTTGCCCCCGGTACGGTTCTGGATACGCGTGGACGATCTAGAACCGTGCCTGAATGGTTCTGGACATAGTCTGCGTATCCCAGAACGTAGATTTGCCCCAGGTACGGTTCTGGATACGCGTGGACGATCTAGAACCGTGCCTGAATGGTTCTGGATAAAGCCAGCCAGGACATTGAGTCAGCGGATATCTAAGTCCTCGTGGGCGGCTCATGTTACAGGTACGACCGGTGTTGTGTTCATACCTGTGCACGTGGGTGGGTCGTGGTGCCGGCGTGATGGTCATTCAAAGCGCGGACTCTCACTGTTGCCCACTCGTACAAACCATTCCCTCCCTCTGCCCTGACATATTCTAACTAAAGCTGCCCCCTTTCTTTAAGTTTGCTTGTACTTAAGAGCCAGTTGGTTTGTAGAAGTCTCGCAGGTGTGTTGTGTGTGGATAGTGTGTTACCTGGTGCATGGTAGGCACGTGAAGAGCCTGTTGTTCCGGCCTAGCTGATTTGCATATGGAACAGTCCTCAGAGACCAGAGCGAGAGGAAAGACCGCCAAAACTCACATACCTGCAGCTGGCGACCAGTCGTCGACAAAAACCCGGAGGAAAAACCACTGGGAAAGGAAATATTAAGGTAAGAAGTACGTCTAGTGTTGGGATATTGGCTTAAGCAACAGTAGAGTTTGACTTGAGTAGTTGACGGCACACTGTAGACTGGAATTTCCTGGCCCACAAGAGTTAGACTGAGTTAAGTACTGTGCTCTAAGAGTGAGAGAGTACGTATCGTACAGTCCCTGTATTTCATTCAACTATACAGTGCATGGTCTGAGTAAGAGTTACATGTATGATTTTCAGGATACTCATTATAATAGGATAACGTGTATAGTTTGCGAGTGTTTGGTTTGTTTTTACTTGGATATAAAAACCGGACATAAAGGCCAAACAAAATATAACGTCAAACAGAATATAAGGTAGACACACAATGCATGATTGTTGTCCCTAGACACTAGTGACGTGGGCGCCTGTCGGGGTTTAGGGCACACAAGATGAGTAATAGTATCCTAACAGTTCCCTAGAACTCTTCATAACGAACTGCCCTACATATAGCAAGATTTCAGCAGTTAATGAACCGTTTAGCGGTAGAATGGGCTAACATCTTCTGTTGAAAACACGGTGCTTCACAGGTGTCATCAAAGAAACCGCCCAGAAAAAAAATTGAGATGCAAATATTGGAATGCACAGGAATGTGGTAGACAAGTGTAGTGTTCCATTTATAAATCCTAAGTTCCATGTCAACCCATTGATTTAGAGTGATATGAATCAAAATCATCTTCCCGACACGTTCCTCTGTCTACAAAAGAGAAGTCAAACCCTTCAGGCATAGCTCTATACATAGCTATAGTTTTAGACAATTACCTGGTGCAATTATGTAAAATTTGATTGTTCTTTTGCACCATGTCCCAATGTGCATTTATCTTTGTTACATGCCTGCCTTCGGGCAGGGATTTGCTATAAACTTTTCCATTATGAAGACGATACACGTAGCAGCGCCGCACCCAAGGTGACGTCTGAATGAAACAGCATTAAGAAGTGATCATTAAGGTAACGCCCCTTCAAAGCGGCGTGTTAATCAATCAGACGTCACCACAGGCCCAGGAAAAATGTCGTGTTTCCGGTTTTCTGACCGACTCTAGCAAAATCCGCTGACGTTTTTTTTCTTTTTTTGGGGGGGGGGGGGGTAGGACTGGTTGACCTGGTAGGCTCTGCGCACTAGTGCAAGAGGACTAAGTGAGTGAATGAATGAGTGAGTGAGTGAGTGAGTGAGTGAGTGGGTGAATGAGTGAGTGAATGTGTGAGTGAGTGAGTGAATGTGTGAGTGAGTGAGTGAATGTGTGAGTGAGTGAGTGAATGTGTGAGTGAGAGAGTGAGTGTGTGTGTGAGTGAGTGAGTGAGTGAATATGTGAGTGAGTGAGTGAGTGTGAGTGTGTGAGTGAGTGAATGAGTGTGAGTGAGTGAGTGAATGAGTGAGTGTGTGTGAGTGAGTGAGTGAGTGAGTGAGTGAGTGTGTGAGTTAGTGAGTGAGTGAATGTCAGAATGAGTGAATGTGTGAATGTGTGAGTGAGTGAGTGAGTGAGTGAGTGAGTGAATGTGTGAGTGAGTGAGTGATTGTGTGAGTGTGTGAGTGAGTGATTGAGTGAGTGAGTGAGTGAGTGATTGATTGATTGATTGAGTGAGTGAGTGAGTGAGTGAGTGAGTGAGTGAGTGAGTGACAGGAGGGGCATAACATTTTTGATCTAATATATGAATGTCAGACCCTCTGAAATGTTTTTTTTAAGAATTTACAAAAGCAAATTTTCATGGAGTATATAAATGACCCACCGCACGTGACAGTACACCAGATTTACGTATAACTCTGTATATTGACTGATTTAATAAAAAAAGCTCGCTGACCCTAGCGTTTTTTGGTTGACCACTCGCAAGGGCCATGCCTACCTTTCTATACGAATTGAATCGGATTTGAGTTAAATTTGAGTCACATTTCGACCCACAGACACTACTGACAATACTCCGGAACACCAACCACTACTGAATGTTTTAATTAAACATTTTGACACGTTTTAAAACTATTTCTGAACCGTTTCTTTCCATTTGTCAGCGGTTTCTCGATGTGCCACTCTCCTATCCACCGCCCATCTCTGCATGAGCACTGTGACTCTTAATCTTACATGGCATCTTGCCCAGCTTAAGATCTGTATCTGTATAAATAAAACTGCAGACTCAGGTGATCTGAGTCACAGTCGACTTGAGACAGGTTTGAGACAGCTTAGTCAGGCATTCTTGGGACAGCCTGTATCTGTATCTGTATAGCCGATGTTACCGCCTTTCGGCGTAACACACCAGCTTCGTAGGCACGCGGCGTGGCGGCAGCTGGCTACATTACACCGAACGACTTGTTACACCAAACCCTTGAACATCTAACTCTAAACACTGTTTAAAGCTATCCAAGGATAATGCCCCTACTGTACTTGGTGACATCGAGTTACCTGTAATTCTGTCATATCGTTGAAAACCCTACAACAACAACAACAACAAATCATGCGGCGTAGCACGGATGTTACTCTAAGTATAGCATGATTAACCGCGAATAACCTCACGTTCTTTCACCACCTTCAGTGCCGCCCGTCGCGCGTGTTTGTGGCCGGGGTATCTGGAAATTACTTTCTGAATTGCTCCAAAATTATGCTGATATACAATTTACCAGAGGAGATTGCGCCTTGGGCAAGTCAATTATCCTAGTTTGGGCAATCAGGTGTTGATCAAATTTATCCGGGGATGGCGTGTTTGTTACCATGGTAACTCCGAGGGGCACTAAGCTGAATGACTAGCCCCGGGTCTATTGAGGGTGATGACCCTTTGAATTGATCGACATGAAATGAAACGAGTATATGTAATTTTCCCGACTTGAATACCTCCTTGGGCAAAACACTCATCGTATTTTGGACCTGTGTCAATCAAATTTGCCACACTGCAGTAAACATACTTATGATACTAGCTCCTTGAGCCTCGCCTCTACCCTGCTAAGGATAGCCTGGGTGCAAGACTGTTGCTAGGGCCAGTATACAGGCTAGCTTCTCGGCTCTTGCCTAAAAAGGATGTACTAACCCTGAACAGCCTGACATCCAGGCTATCCTAAGGGATACTTTTACCCATTAAAAAGGGTTTATACATAGTAAGATTCGGCACAAATATGATCAATATTTGACCAGGGGACTCCTGGAGTGAGCTGAGGAATAAAAAGGGATAACAATTCCCGCAGGTAAATATACAGGCAAATTTAGGAACTCTATGATGGTCAAACTCTCCTGGCAGAATATTCTCCCTGTTTGGCTAAATCTTGGTATATCTAAAAGCTTTGTTGAAGAAAAGGGTTTGTTGAAACCTAGCCTCTGTATAAATCCTGTTGAGAAATACCAAAAGACAATGTTTAAGAATGTTTTCTCGGGGGTCAATCTCCTATACCTGTGTACGTGCGGAGTATCCTGGGTAACTATCTATCCCGGGGCATGTCGGGATACCGCCTCCTACCAACAGTGCACGGTCATGCGCAGTTAGCACCAAACCCTCGCAGCTACAAATACCTGAAGGCAATCCCAGAAGACAAAATTTAGCAATGTTTTATATAGGGTCAATCTCCTATACCTGTGTACGTGCTGAAAATCTGGCGTAACTATCTATCCCGGGGCATGTCGGGATACCGCCTCCTACCAACAGTGCACGGGCATGCGCAGTTAGCACCTAAACCCTCGCAGCCACAGATACCTGAACGCAATCCCAGACAACAAAGTTTAGCGATGTTTTCTCGATTGTGTAACCCCTGGAACTGTGTACGTGATGATTAGCGTGGTTAACTATCTACTTGCTCTGTCGTTTGCGCCAATTCAACCCGCCCGTTGAAGATCTTCTTACTACATATACTTGTTTCGTCCGTCCTGTGTTGGAATATGCCGCGCCTCTCTGGCACCCTGGTTTGACCAAAGCACAGAGAAGGAAGATTGAAAACATACAAAGAAGAGCCACCAGAATCATCCTTGCTAAGGAGTTCACGAACTACAAGTCAGCACTGGAGACGCTACAGCTACAGACTTTAGAAGATCGCAGAATAGCCCTGTGCAGACGGTTTGCGAACAATATACAAGCTTCTACCCTCTACCGGCACTGGCTGCCACAAACCAGGGGTAGTGTCAGTGGGAGGATGACTAGACAACATGCAAAACTCGACCAATTGCCAGCGCGCACAGAGCGGTACAACAGAAGTACATTACCGTACCTTGTTCACATTTTAAATCATGAATAGTCTGTGTAAATGTATGATTTTAATATGATTTAATGACTGTTTTTATAACACGGAATGATGATCAGGATTTTATTTCACTGTCTAAAGCTTTTATTCACACAATTCAGCCTTGTGGCTGCCTAGTGATGGAGCTGTATTGTGATTTGTGTTTGTGTTTGAAATAAACCAATGATATATATACCCCGGGGCATGCCGGGATAGTAGGCATATACCACCTCCTACCAACAGTATACAGGCATGCGCAGTAAGCACCCAAACCCTCGCAGCCACAAATACCTTGACGCAAGTGTTAGTGATCTCCGAAAATATCTCAGAAAACAAAGTTTAAGTATCGCATACAACTGTGTACGTGATGAGTCGTGTGATTGTCTATCTACCCCTGGGGCATGACGGGATATTAGCACTCCCACTGTACACGGACATGCGCAGTAGGCACCTAAGCCCTCGCAGCTACAAATACCTTGTCCAAGTCTTTGTGAGACACTATCTGGCCCCAGCCAGATAGTTTTTAAAGGTCTGTGTTTTTTGAAGGCATCGCTTGTCTGGAAGACTTAGACTTTATAGCACCACAAATACTAAATTAAAAACCTGTAATGCTGAGGTCACGTTTCCAAACCGGGGCCCGGCCGGGCTGTTTCGATTAACGAAAAAGCCATGATTCATATCAATAGTATACGCAAAAAGTTCCCATTATTAATTTTTAAAACTTTTTCGTGACTTTTTGTCTTTCATATCATTCTTTTTGTTCCATAAGACTGCCCGGCCGGGACCCGGTTTGGAAATGTGACCTCAGCATAAGAGGCAGAATTTTGAAGAAGAATGAAGAACAATTTCTCCAAGCAGATGTTTTGCTCCCAACCTACTCCTACCCATGGTAGATGGGGGGGGGGGGAATCCGGAGGCTACATTCAGCTATATGTGACAGGGCTTCAGGGAGAAGTGGTGTCAAACGTCATGACATGTGAAGATCTTCCACTCAAACATCTACTTGGAGATAATGTTGACAACGCTCCTGGGCGTGTCACCTCTGATCTGTACTTATCTATTCTGTCTGTCAGCGGTGAGATATTCTGGTGTGCAAAATGTCCGTCTCTGAGCTGTCACTTCGGTATTACACTGACCCACAAATTAACGGGTGTTAGAAATTCTTCTGTTAATCCAACTGATACATTATATATTGTGAAGGCTGTATTGTACATTCATGCTATTTTGGGCTACGTGTAGGCATACAAAGACAGATGTCGCAGTAGTAAAAGAGTGGTGTTACCTGATTGCCAAGCACTGTAGTTGTACGTGTGTATGTCACACATAGCCGAATTAGGCCTCTCGAACACTAGCGAACTCCCCCAAACCATGGTTAGGAGTAGGTCCGGAGCAAAGTCGGCTGTGGTCGGCTTGTGTTCGTTTGGCCAGGCCTGCTACTGTTCGGCTGCACAAGCCGAATGCTTAAAACATTCGGGTTCATTCAAATTTGACTCAAATTTAACTCAAATTTGGTTCGTATAGAAAGGTAGTCGTAGCTTAAATCCTATCAGACTGCTCCCGACCGTCAGCCAACCTGTGTTGGTTGGTGGTCGGGGGAAGGTTGTGAATGTGTGACAGGGGCTTAAACTGAGGGAATTAGTAGATGCATGTACATGTAAGCAGTCTTTGATTTTATCGCTTGGATCACATCCAGAAGAACCCCAGCGCCTCGAGGCCTGTCATAGTTACCAATAATCAGACGGCATATCTGTGAAATTTGTCATGTTGATGCTCTATCTCTCTCAGATTCGCATAAACTTTACATGTTAACTGATGTAGATATATCTGGTGGTATCACGATCTAAGAACTTCTGTAAATAGAACGAATTTAAAAAACTTCCCATTTAGTTTGAGACGCGTTTGTTACATCCACGTCCATATGGAATTCCAGGTCACAAGAAATCAGGAAATAAACGATTTAGTCGTTTAACTGTCACCACATAATGATGTAAAACTCTCCCATACCTGCTACTGCATTGTTCTTTTGATATTCCTTTTTCAGTATATTCAAACGTTCTCACATATTCAGTCATCTGAGAGTAATTTCAAAACCACGTGCACTCAGATAATAATGATTCATTGTGTGTGCAAGTCACTCTGGTGGTGTACACGTCCTCAATACACATCAATATTGATGATGCTTCGTGCCACCTTTGACCCATAATCGTCCTCATTATTCTCCAAATAGATTTGTTCACCAGGGTCATCGTACTCAACATAACGTCCTTGGCTTTACTCGTCTCTTAAATGTAGCTAAAGCCACTTCAGGGCGGCAAAACTGAATTTCAAAGGCAATTTTATGGTCATTTTCTTAATGCTGTTGAATCAACCCTATGTTATAGGATACTTATACATATGCAAGTTCCACAAGGAACAGACATCACTAGAAAACGAGACGTTTTGCCCGCAGCTCTGTCTAGCCTCGACGCTGGCTGTTACGTACAATTATCTGTCTGTCTGTCTGTCTGTCAGTCAAAGAAAATTGCGTCGCAACTAACTCATTCAATAACTAAGTACTAAGCCTTCTTATTCATTAAGTCATTTCTTTTTGGAATTGAGTTCTTCTTGAATCCCTTTGAATTTAATTTCTTCATGAGAAAATTGAGCTCAGCAGTCTTAGTACATTCCTGTCTTACTATTGTGCTTCAGGACATGATTGCACTACCTGACATGATATATTTGACATGTTGAACTTTGTGGTCAAATTTCTTGAGATGCGTGATAATCGCACAGTCGCCTATTGTTGTTTCTTTTCGCTGTGTCATGGGATCAGTCTGTATAAAAGTTAAAGAGGAAAAGAGCTGAAAAAAAGCCTGAGAACACTACTTACTACTAGAGAAATACACACGGAAGACAGCATATATTCTCGTGTTGGTTGGGCTTTCCACACAAAAAGCAACCGTACTTACAATTTGTTTAGCCGTTTACAAGAGGTATATGTCACCACAAGAGTAGAAAATTATGTGATCTAATCCGTAGGCATTTAGTGAGTGTGTTGCATTCAACAATTACAAAACGTATAGTATTACGAAGTGAATGTTTTCATCTGTTTAGCGTACGGTTTGAAGCTTCCAAACAATATTATCTGTCCATCAAGTTGGGCCTTTCACACATAAAGCAACTGTACTGACAATTTGTTTAGCTGTCACCACAAGAGTGGAAAATTATGTGATCTAATCCGTAGAAACATTAGTGAATGTGAACGTAAAGTATTACCAAGCGTACGGTTTAAAGCTTCCAAACAATATTATCTGTCCATCAAGTTGGAGTGGGTGATCTTAGGTCACGGAGTGCCTTCGGGCTACATGTGGGTCGTGCATTAGCATACTTGATCGACGAGAGTGGAGGTGTTGGGCAACTTTTCGGTACTTAAGCGCCGGCTGGCACCGGTGAAGTACAAACAAGAGACCGTCTCGACGAAGACAACCGGAAAAGGTCTGTAAAAAGCCTATATCTCGTTATTATAAGTAATAAGCGTGTTTTAAGTCTCTGGTGTCACATGTAGCTGAATATGGTCTCCCGAACACTGCCCAACTCCTTCCGAACCATGGTTGGGAGTAGGTCAGGGGCAAGGTGGGCGGTGGTCGCCTGGTGTTCGGCGGGGTCGGCTACTGTTTGGCTGAGCTAGCCAAATGTTTCAAAATGTTTGAAAAATGCGGGATGTCGGACACTGGTTGGGGAATGGTTGGCTGGTGGTTGGGAGTAGATCAACGGTGGTCGAAGGGCAGGATGTTTTGCAGTCAAATTTGATTCACAAATTTTATTTCATGACTATGGAATGGTAGACGTGGTCACCTTGGTTGGTCTGTGGTCGGGGGAAGGGTCTGTGTGACAGGGGCTTTAGTGGTCAGTGACCAGGCCTTTGGAAAGGACGGTCATTCAAGGATTGAAATCCTTGTCCTCTTGAAGCTTGCCTACTGTAAGAAAATGCTGTGTACGTTGTCTACAAATGTACCATGTGGCATAATTAGTGCTTCATTGTCCAATAGAACTGACGCTATAATTTAGTCTCTTTAAGTCATGTGCTGTGGTCAGTTACTTCGGTCGATAGGGAGTACATCTTCTTCTGTAAAGTTGATATCTAGGTCGAGATATTTTTTTTTATGTTTAACCTACATTGTATTTGGCTGTGCCAGCCGAATGTTTCAAAATATTCAAAACATTTAGGTGTGGACAGGAGGTTCGGCCATAGTTGGCTGGTGGATGGCTAATGTTCAGGCGTAGGCCGAGCGTGGTTGGCAGTAAAATGTGGCTCAAAGTTAACTCAAATTCGATACATATACTCTCTAATTATATTTGTTACTTCATTTCTCCTATGACGTACGATCCTTTTAATCGGTATATTTAAGCTTTCTCACATATTCAGTCACCTGAGAGTAATTTCAAAATCACTTAGTACAATATTAATGACGCTTCGTGCCACCTTTGATCCATAATTGTTCTCATTATTGTCTCATTATTTTCGAAATAGATTTGTTCACCAGGGGCATTGTACTCAACATAACGTCCTTACGGCTTTACTCGTATCTTGAGTACAGCTAAATCCACTTCAGGGTGGAAAAACTTAAATTCGGCAAATTCGCGATTCATATCGAAAGGCACGCGTGGTCCAAACCTGATCAGACTGCTCCCGAACGTCAGCCAACCTTGGTTGGTGTTCGGGGGAAGGTTCTGAAAGTGTGCCAGCGACTCTACAGTAGCTGTGGTGGTGTTTTATACCGTAAAAATCCCAACGTTTTTTAACATGAAAGTTCATCTGTGTTGGTACATGTCACGTTCCAAGAGTAGACATGAGCAAGGTCGGAGGAGCCAGCGGAAAAAAATGGGGTAAGTCTTAATTCATTGTAGTGTCGGCAGTTAAAGATTAGTCTTTATTTCCTAACGTTTGTTGTTGTTGTTGTTCCTCCAGGTTCCACCCCGACTCTAACCCAGCACCATGTACCGTAACGACCCCGTGCCGGCCGTGGCCGTGCCTATGCCGGACCCCATGGCCATCAAGCCGTCCGAGTCTCAGGCTGACCTGGTCAGGAACATCGAGACTCAGCCCGTCAAGGGCGCGCAGCAGGAGGAGTACGATCCATGGCACGTGGCCAGGCTCAAGGACGAGGGAACCAAATGGAGAGGTGGGTGTTCTTAGATAGTTTTTCGAGAATTAAGGAAAGGAGGAACGAAGGACGGACGGACGGAAGGATGGATGTGTTAATGGAAGGATGGATGTGTTAATGGAAGGATGGATGTGTTAATGGAAGGATGGATGGATGGATGGATGGATGGATGGATGGATGGATGGATGGATGGATGGATGGATGGATGGATGGATGAATGGATGGAAAGAAAAAAAGAGCTACAGGAGCAAGATCCGTGACATGTGGTCAAAATGAATGATTCAATAGCGAACGAACGAAAAAAGGTTTTGTTCACAGATGTTTAAAATGAGTTGACATGTTGTTATACAAAGCCATGCGACACGCATTTTCTAAATACATTTAATATAATGTAAAAGCAACTGATTTTTAAATATTAACACCTTTATTTTGATATATTGCAAATCTGCAATGATCCATCAGAAGTTCTGATGTAGATACAATCTTACATAATCATGACAAGTAAGTGAAAAACTTGCTTATAATGCTAGAAACATGCTCTGTTACCAACTGGTTGGAATGACTGTGTATATTGATGATATCTGCATGTGTTTGCAGACCTGAGCGGTAAAGGGAAGGTCCTGCGGGCTTTAGGCTGGGTCGTGAAGCCGCTACTCCTGCTCGGACTCATCTATCTGTTCATCTGTTCCCTGGACTTCCTCAGTTCCGCCTTTAGACTGCTGGGTAAGACTGGGACATTAAGTACTACTTGTTTAAAGTTTAAAGTTAAAACTTTATATCCAACACGATATCATCTACCAGATACCTTTGACCCAGTGTTAACGTCACACTTCAAAGAAGCCACGGGACAAGCCTCACTGGGGCAGTCTACTGAGAAAGACCAGAGTGACTGGTCGAAAGCTCTAGGTGAGAGAACTTAATCGTGTTGGATGTAAAGTTTTAACTTTAAACATGTAACTACCAACACTGATAAATTTTTATGATAGGAGGTTAACTATTGTCTGTGTGGGCCTTATTGTATCCACAACCGTCCATATCTAGCTTTATGTCTCAATGGGTTAGGATGATACCAGGCATGGTTCTGGATATCCAAGAACGTAGATTTGCTCCAATTAAGCACGCGTTCTGGGTATGCGTGGACTGTCCGGGACCGTGCCTGAGCTAGAAACAGCCTACGATACAAAACAAACAACTGTTTTCGGTCAGTGACACCGCACACTTTTGCCTCACAGATACCAGTTTGCTTTGTAATAGAGTTAACGTTGATTTAACTTACTTCAGTACATCAAAAGCATGACCAGAAAATTGAATTTGAATATCCGGTACTAGTTTGGACGCCCCGAAATTGAATTGGATGCCTTTAAGCGTGTCTATTTACTCTACATTGGCTTATGATTAAGATTTTAACTGCAACTAACTATCAAATGTTGCCATCCGGAATCTTGACAGGCGGACGTGCAGCCGGTGAGACCCTGAGTAACAACGAGCTCCTGACCAACCCTGTAGCGGGCCTGATGATCGGTGTGCTGGCCACTGTGCTGGTGCAGAGCTCCAGTACCAGCACGTCCATAGTCGTCACCATGGTGGGGGCAGGAAGTAAGTTGTCTCTTTGTTTCTTAGTCTGACTACGTATACAACACGCTTCTAGCAGCCCTTCCATTGGTCAGGCGCCTAGCCTGCATACAACACGATAATTTCTTGACATAATTATTTTAGTCATAATCTGTATAATAATTTATCTTCGACCTTACTTCTTAATTCTTAAAGCCTCTACGTGTGTATAAATCTGTACTTATGTTAGTCTGTATCTGCATTATGTATGTCTAATGTTTAATGAGTCCTAGTAGATTAGCCCCATGTAGGGGCTAAAGGATATCTCGATAAACTCAAACTCAAACTTTATGTCTAACATCACAATGAAATGAGAAGAAGCCAATTCTTTGTATTAGTTTTAGAGCTAAATGTTGTTCTGTGTCAAAGTAATTTTAGAGCTACTGTTGTTAGATTAGTATCAGTAGTCCTGTTTGTACTACAAACATGTATATACCTTTTCATCTGTTCAACTGTACTTAGCCCGATAGGGCGTGAATGTACAATAAACTAATCTGTTTGTTCTCCAGTTCTAGAGGTGAGGCCGGCGATCCCCATCGTGATGGGAGCGAACATCGGCACGTCCGTCACCAACACCATCGTGTCGCTGGCGCACGCCGGGGACAGGGACGAGTTCCGCCGCGCGTTCGCCGGAGCCACCGTGCACGACATGTTCAACTGGCTCAGCGTCATCGTGCTACTGCCGCTCGAGGTGAGACGTTTGGACGCAGCTTTTTTTACGTAACATGTGATCACAAAACACTCAACTTTGTTTATAACTTAACATCTTATATTAATGCCGCCACTAACACAGGGGACAAAACAGTACTCATCTGAGCGAAGTGAGGAAAGTCGTGTTAAGTGCCTTTCCCAAGGGCACATGTAATACTGAGGTCTGCAAATGTGATGACCACACAACTCTCTCCCCCACTAGAAATTATTAACGTTAGATGGCAGTGACTTTTCTAGTTTATTTTTACATTTAGCAGTCTGTCAACATGGTAGCCGGTACTGTAGTAGACACCCTGTGGTGTCGGGTTACATAATGTAGCAAGTCGTAGGCACATTTGGATTCACTGGTGGCACCATGTACAATGTATCATGTATGTGAATGTGTTTGAGTAAAATGATCAAAGCAGTAGTTTGTTGAGCTAGACCATGTGAAGGTAAATATCATGCGTTTCCTTTGTAAAGGTTACCTTTCTAGGTACTCATGTAATATTCATATCTTCTTTGTTCCAGGTGATGTCGGGTTACCTGTACCACCTGACCGGCGCCATCCTCAGGTCCTACAAACTCGAGACGAACGAAGACGCCGACGTAGAGATCCTCAAGGTCATCACTAAGCCCTTCACCAGTCTTGTCATCAAGGTCAGGAAACACATCTTGTGTCACGGTTTTAAAGTTACAGTTTTATGAAGAAGATCAGACTCGCAGCATGAGGTACATGTACAACAAGCTGAGTTTCACTGATTCGTACAGTCATATGTGACAGAAACATCAACATTACATACAAAACAAAGAATCGCAGGTAAAGCTATACAAAATGCCTACCCATTGGCGCAAAGAAAACATGAATGTCCTAAAACAGGCTTACTGGATATTTTTTTACACTCGTCTGTTCTCCATAATTAACCCAATTGTGCAACTAGAGTTCCACGATCTAATTTTAAAACAAACGCCCCTACAGTTCCATAAGAAGCTGATAGAGGACCCAAACGATCTTTACTTCACGCCGATTATTCACAAATACAAGAGCTACTATCACATATTTATTCACTACCGAAAACGTAATGTTGAGTTGTTTTTCATTGTTTAACTTCAGAAAAAGTGGTAGCGCACTCAAGTTAGCTAAGACGTATTTAACGCTGCAACTTACACATATTGAGAGGATAATTTTTAGCAAAAATGAATCCAATATAAAGGAAATACATATGATAATACATTTACAGTATTTATTCCATCGTTGTAGATCGACAAGAAAGTGATCGAAAACATCGCCAAAGGATCGAACGAAACGAAGGGTCTGCTGAAGAAGGGAGACTATCTCTTCTCCAACACGGGTCTGACTGAGGCCCAGCTCGGGATTGTCCTGCTCATCCTGTCTCTCATCATCCTCTGTGTCTGTCTGGTGCTCATCGTCAAGCTGCTGCACTCCATGCTGAGGGGACGTGTGGCGTACTGGACCAAGAAGGTGAATAGGTCTAGACCACTTTATTGTGTCAAAAGAGTCTCTTTATTCAGTGACTTACCAACCTGATGAATCCATTCACGGAGAAGAAGGTGAATATAGTTTCAAATCGAAAGGCATGAAAACTATGCATTTGCATCTGATTCAGTTAAATTTTACCTGACATGGACTGGCAATGGATTTGAGTAACAGTTAACGATTTGTTCTATTTCGGCTTTGGTTTATTTTTTTTTAATTCGTGTAATCCATGTATTTGTAAACTTTCTCGCCTCACAATCCCCAGTTATTTATGTTACAATTTTGTTGTAAGTTTCGTTTCTTTGTTACACAGATGATTTTAATGTCTTTTTTCATAGAAACTGCCTTGTCACCATATGATCTGTAGGCAATTCACTTTTAATTCAGTGAATGAGTCCCTAACAACTTGTTTCTTTTCCCCAGGTCATCAACGCAGAGTTCCCGGGGAAGGCGTCCTTCCTGACGGGGTACCTGGCCATCGCGGCCGGGGCCGGCATGACGTTCATCGTGCAGAGCAGCTCCATCTTCACCTCCGCCCTCACGCCGCTGGTCGCCGTCGGGGTCCTGCACATCGAGCGCTGCTACCCGCTCACTCTGGGCGCCAATATCGGTAAGTACGAAGGCCCACAGCGACACTGTGCGACACCTCTTCTAAAGCCCGGATGTAGATCGCTACGATTGGGCTATGCATGCATGCGTGACACCTCTTCCAAAGCACGGAGAGAGAGCACTGCGAAGGGCTGGGGGGCGGGGGCACACTGCTTTGGCAAGTATCACGTTAACGTTGTATGGTTGGGTTTCGTACTACATGACCATATGAAAGAAAAATAGATAAAAAGGTATCAGGTGAGAAAGAATGAAACAAGAAATGACTATAACAGAATAGCCCTTTTCCGTTAGAAAGAGCTCATGATACATTATTCATTACATGTGCATCTAAGATGGTGGATGCCATTTGAAAATCTACTATGCACATGTACCTGGACTGTTTCGGTGCGTGCATAAGTTCAATCCTTACCATACATCGATATAACCCTTTCAGCTGATAGGTAGGAATGTAGTCAGAATATGATTTTTCTATTGCCACAGGCACCACGGCGACCGCCATCCTGGCCTCCCTGACCTCCACTACGGAGAAGGCCCTGTCCAACTCCCTCCAGCTGGCGCTCTGTCACTTCTTCTTCAACATCAGCGGCATCATCCTCTGGTACCCCATCCCCAACCTGGTGCAGGCCTGCGCGCCAAAGTGAGTGTGTTTGTTTGTCTGTTTGTTTGTTTTAGCCTATTGTAGCCGGAACCGTGCCTATCTAGTTTTATGCCAGAATGGGTAAGGGTTAGAATCAAACACGATTCTGGATAGTCTTCACGTATCCCTGGACACAGATTTACCCATAGATGAATTTGGACTATTCAGAATTGTGCCCGAGCATAAATAGAGAAAAGTAGAGGGACAAAAGACTTCTTATACAGTTGCCTAAGTCGTTCATTCAATCGCTTATAATATTTACTTACAGTGTACCAGACCCTTTCCTGTACTTCTTGTACAACCATGTGGTCCAAGGGGCGCAGCCCTATACACCAAACATTGTGGAAATTAACGAATCTAATGTTTATCTCCTTTGTGTAGTATGGTGAAGTGGTTACCCCATCCCCCTATCGTCCTGGCCAAGTGGCTCGGCAACAAGACGGCCAAGTACCGGTGGTTCGCGCTGGTGTACCTGTTCCTGATGTTCTTCATCTTCCCCGCGGTGGTGTTCGGGCTGTCGTTCGCCGGCTGGCAGGTGCTGGTGGGGGTCGGCGTGCCCATCCTCGTCTTCCTCGCCGCCATAGCCGTCATCAACGTCATGCAGGTGCAGTTCCCTCGGTAGGTGGCGCCTTTTTGTCGATCTAGTGATACTGCAGTCTATATAGGACTGGTGCATTCGGTAGGCTGTGAGTTCGATCCCTGGCCGAGTAGACGGACTAGCCCCCTGCTGTAGTGATTGCACCGCTGTGTGACCCATGGCTATTGAAAACGGAGATAAGCGCCGCCCTATGCGTCAATTGATGCGGGAAGGCTGTTTAAGTTTTTTATACTCCAGTCTGTGTTACACATTAAGTCAATCTCTCGATGTTAGGGGTTGATTAGGCATTCTCATTGAGAGCTTCTAGCCATACACCTCAAATTCGAGAGAAACATTTCCATTCAAAGAACTATTAACAGGAGCTAAGGATTTTCTATCACTGTAACACAGCAACCAACATCAATGTTACAGACATTTCTCCGCATGAAAATAATATATTGCTCTCTGTTAGCACACGTGCAAAACTCGGCAGGACTAAGATGTTCCCTAGTTATCCACCAAGCGTCTAGATGCCTGACCAGTAAAAGTGATGTAATCAGGCTATTGACACGTGCACTGATGTCAATAGATTGAAGAGAAGGTACAATGGACTCCTCTGTCATATTCCCATACATTTTCCTTTGTTCTCCCCAGTTTCCTGCCGAGTAAGCTGCGTACCTGGAACTTCCTGCCGGCCTACTTCCACTCCCTGAAGCCGTACGACTACGTCTGCACCCGGGCACTCGCGCCCTGCGGCAGGGTCTGCAAGTGCTGTCGACAGGTCAGCAGCTCTTCTTATCATTATCAAAACTTTCATCTGTTCTTCGGGAACTTTAAGCTGTTCTTTTGTTCATAAAGAAATTGAGTCATCGGAGTTTTCTCGTCCTTTATCAATTATCTGAACCAAGTGTTAGCTGTCGGACGTGTGATTCTTCCGCACGTGTGACGTCAGACGAAAAACAGTTACTGGAAGGACCTGGATTGATTTTTAGGATACCACCCAGAAAATAATCTCGGGGTTTGTTTCTGCAGTTTTAAATGCGTATAAAGTATGAAATACTGATTCAAATGTGCTGATGTGGGCCAGTATGTGCCAATATATTATACAGATTGCCTTAGTCATAATATTACCAGTTTTGCTGCCCTGAAATTGCATTGGATGCATTTTATGAAAGTGGTTAAAATGTAACGTTCGTCAATGTTGACGAGTTCTCAAAGACGCTTTACCTTCCAACAGGTAACTGATGAAGACGAGGAAGCGGACCAGAACGCCTACCTGTAAAACGTCAGCACTACTGCTGTACTACGTCACGTCTTCCCGGGCAAGACGTCACGCCTTTGTGTGTAATATCGCATGTTTCTGAACATCACAAGAATTGCAGTACATCTAACGACATAAGTTAATGCTCCCTTTTATGAGCTGACCACTAATAAAGATTCAAATACATTCACCACAAGTATTTAGGCAGAAGACTATTTTGTGAGTTAAATAAATTAAAAAATATTGTAAGCCTATATAAACGGTGATGGTTTTACCTTTAGTGATTTGTATGAATTATGAATTTCACTCATGAAATACAGCACTCAAAATTGTAGTTTTAAATGATTAAAGTGTCTTTTGAAAAGGTAAAACATGGATCCAAAAATCAGATATTCCAGACCTATATTACACTAGGCTACATCTTGTTCCTCTTACGGTACTATTGGAGTAATTTTAACATGGAAAATTGGGGAACTAACAGATTGGAAGTCGTGTACTATATTCAAGATATTAGTAAGTCCGTAGATTGTATAATGATTGACTTACAAAACCTTCGAAGGGTGCTACTGTTCGTTAGAACTCCAGCTTGTGTATGTTGCAAACCTAACTTAGTGGTGACGGTACATGATAATATGTATATAATGTGATGTTTGGTGCCAGTATTACACACCACTTTAATTAATAATAGTACTTTTAATTATTTTACGAAAATGACTTCCTTGCCCTTGTGGTTCTAAGGTGTTGTACAGATTGCCTTTTTAGCCAATACTACTTGTTGATATCAATAAAATTTGTGAATAACATTGACACTTTGTGAATAATTTTTCTTAGCCTGAAGACCGTATAGATTGTATATGTAATCCCGTGATTGTGTATTTTGTGTCTACACTACAGTGATTAACACCAAGAGTTGTGTTACAAGAATGCATGCAAGAAATCAGAGGCAAATTAAAGTCAGCACCACAAATGCTCTTCTACAATTTTAATGATCTAAAGACTAGAGCCCCGGTGTTTAGGGACAACAGTGTCCGTTTCCAAGATCTTACATACGCTGGCTAGCATGGGCGATCTGAAAAGAAAAAACGAAAAGGACGTGTATATGTAAGATTTTATTTTTATGTAGAGAAGTAGACACCCAGGATTGATCAAAATTAATTGAAATGTTTTTTTTTATTATTCCAACATTTCATGACTAGACATGGTGACGGCACACTCAAGTTATATCAGCTTATTCAATGCCGCCACCAACGCAGAGGACAAATACAAGAAAGGACAATACTCATTCACTTGAGTACGGTGAGAAAAGTCGTGTTAAGTGTCTTTCCCAAGGACACAAGATCGGTGGCAGGACTCGAACCCGGGATCTCTTGGTTCCGAGTCGAGCGCACTGCCGTTACGCCACACGACCCCACATAATTGATAATTGACGTGTTGATGGTACAAATGTAGTTACCTGTTGCGGAATCCTCACTGCTTCCCACGCTGGTTGGTGGTGCTGCTGCCGGGGATGTGGTCTCCAACCAGAGTGATCTGCAACAATGTCCAACAAAACCAACCATCAGAAAACAGTCACAGTCCAAGATTCTCCGAGATGAACACCCTTTGAAATGTCAATGTTTCAGATATCTTGGTGATGGGAACTTTTCTGGAACTTTTTGGTGGTAGGTAGGGAGCAGTCTAACCAGATTTAGGATCAGATACACTTCGAAAGCCGATGAGTAGCCAACCCGTACCTCGTCGACCTTACTCCCGACCTACACCCAACTATGGTTGGGAGGATTTCGACAGTGTTGGGGAGACCATAATCGGCTATGTGCGATAAGGGCTTTAAGTCAGATGTATGAGAGGACCGTGCCGTTACTTACGCCCTGCTCCTTGAGAGAGTCCAGGATGGGGGTGACGAGGTTCATGGCCTGCTCAACGGCGAACGCCTCCAGGTCAGTAAGGTCAACCACGCCGTCAAGGTGCAGCTGGGTGATCCACTGGGGACAGGAAAAATGTTGTTTGTTTGTTTGTTTGTGTTTATTCTGTCTGAATTGTGTACATTATATTTTCAGCAGAGTAACGACTTAAACGTTCATCGCACAACTCAGGATAATTTTTGTGGCAATTTTGAGTGTAGAAAAGCAAACACATGGTTTTGCTTACGTACAGTATCATAAGCTATGAGGATTTTTCTGGATAGAACGAGTGAAAGGGTGAAGGAAGGAATGAGCCAGTGAGTGGACGAGTGTGTATGTGGATGAATGAATGAAGGTTTCAGTTCCTTACATAATCGAGGTTCAACTTGTCCATGAAGTTATCCAGGAAGGTGACGATGGTAGAGTTGATCTGCTGGAGAACTGAAAATATATATTAACAAAATCGTTCAAAATATGAGTATTTGGAAAAAATAGGCCAGTATATCAGAATTATCCCCCAAAAATGATTCCGTGTTTTTATGGTTCCTTACCTGAGGTCTCCAGGTTGTTGGCAGCGGTAGTGAGGAGGGCCTTCTCCAGGGCGGCCTGCATGGAGTTCTTGATATCGTCACTGAATGGGAGGGGGGGGAGGGCGTGTGAGTCATTTACCTTTAAGTCATTCGCTCCGGTTCAGTACACACATATGGTAAAGCAAACATGTATCCAAATGAGATATGGAAACGTTTACAAGACCGTACAATGCTAGCTGACTACAAGGCAAGAAAAAAAATCTTTATCTGAATCTTTATAGACTTTCCAGCCACAATTCCACACCAGCTTATAAGAATCGTCAACTGTTCTTGCTCCTTACTTCCGGAACTGCAAGCAAAATTCATTCTCCCGAGACAGCGGTGCTTCCGTGGAGTATATAGCTTTACAGAAACACTGATCCTTAAGCTAACATATTTGCCGAGGGATAGTTCTGCCGTGGGAGAATGGCAAAATTACGGTATGCTCTTGAAATGGAGAAAGAGGCGAAGAATAAAGTAGTGCATACGCGATGCTCCTCTGCTGCCTGCTCCTCTGGCTATCGGTCGGCAGGTGGTTCAGGGTCAGCTGAATCTGTGTTGGGAAAAGTATGCACAAGATTAAAAAAGAAATGCATGTGAAGAGTGTGCAGCACTGAGGATATACTACATGCGTGATGCGTATTGAGAACCATACAAATTTTAGACGCACAAACGCACAGAAAGAGGTAGAGAAACACACACAAACTCTCTCTCTCTCTCTCTCTCTCTCTCTCTCTCTCTCTCTCTCTCTCTCTCTCTCTTACACATACACACGTGCGCGCACACAGACAAGTCAAAAACACATGGAGATAACTAAAAGCCGAGTGGCAGGTGGGTTTGTCCCAGACTGACCCCCTGCTCCTTGAGAGAGTCCAGGATGGGGGTGACGAGGTTCATGGCCTGTTCCACGGCAAACGCCTCGATGTCCGCCAGGTTAATGACCCCGTCCAGATGGAACTGGGTGATCCACTTCAAACCAAAACGTGAAAAACATTAAACATTGCGGATCAATGATGTAAGATACAACGCGTACGTGTGGCTATAAATATTTTGTAGTAATAGTACAACAGATTTATCATTTCTAATCTCACCCTCCCCCAGCTTCTCTCTAATAGTCTATTCTGAATATATTCTAAGAAATATATGGTAAGAATATACTTAGCAACATTTCGATACTGCTTAGTACACAATAGGAAGAAATATCACAAGCTCAAACTTTTGTAACATCATTTTCAAATGTATGCACACATGTAAGACAATATAGTCAAGCATGGGTAGTATTCTCAGGCTTGCTAATACCGACCGACGGGTATAGCAGCTGTTCTCGCTACAGAGTACGGTGACGAAGCTAAAACACAATAACCCACCATATCCAGGTTCAGCTTGTCGATGAAGCCGTCCAAAACGTTGATGATGGTATCGTTGATTTTCTGGATCACTATAGCAACAACAACATCATATTAGGACTACAATGATCATTTGTATAAACTAGCTACTCTTCAGTCGCTAACGTTTACAGTCGGAGTACCAAAAATAGTACGTAAGAGATTTAGTGAAACAGTTAATGAGTGAGTGAGTGAGTGAGAGTGTGATTGAGTGATCGAGTGAGCGAGTGCGTGAGTGAGTGAGTGAGTGAGTGACAGACTGAGTGACTAACTGAGTGACTGAGTTAGTGAGTGACTAAGCGGGTGAGTGAGTGACTGAGTGAGTGACTGAGTGACTGAGTGAGTGAGTGAGTGAGTGATTGATTGAGTGAGTGAATGAGTGACTGACTGACTGACTGACTGAGCGGGTGAGTGAGTGAGTGAGTGAGTGAGTGAGTGACTGACTGAGTGAGTGAGTGACTGAGTGACTGATTGAGTGAGTGACTGAGTGACTAATTTTGTTAAGACTTGACCGCCTCACCGGAAGCCTCCAGGTTGTTAGCGGTGGTGGTGAGAAGTGCCTTCTCCAGGGCGTTCTGCATCGTGTTCTTGATGTCATCACTGTCGGGGAAAAGCGATTTGAACTGTTATACCTTATGATAAGTACAGATGTTTGTTAATTTACATTCTAAAAACAACCAGCGAGACATTTTCGGTGAGAGTAGGACTCTATCCCGGTGTAAGTAGAACCTATATCTGTGCTAAAATGTGGATGATTTAATATACACGATAAGCTTACGCAATGCTTCTTTGTTGTTTCACCGATCTTGCGTCAGCCAGCGTGGCAACAGCGACCACTAGCGCAACAGCCAGGAACTTCATCTTTCTGTTGTTTTATTCTGGGCTCTGGAAAGAGAGGATAAAAGATCTTAAGTAAAAACACATGAGGACACTTTATTGTATAACCATAAGTTGCACAGCACACTTCATCTCTTTTATCATTTCAAGTTACTTTTTTTGTAAAATGCCAAAGGCAGCTTTGCTGTATGCTTTCCTTTGTAGTAAAAAGATTTCGAGTTTGTATCGCAAGCATTATTTACGTACATACACACAATCAAACCTTTGTTTAAACTTTTAAAGTCTTAGTCACCGTTGCCAATTGCTAAATAGTGGTACAAAGTACATGGCCCCTAACTCATGCCTGTTCAGTTATGGATGACATTGTAACCTTCGCATATTTTCATCTACACTCAACAGGGAGTGTATGAGAGAATAACCATGTTTACACAGCTAATAGTACATCCGTATCTAAACTGAGTCAGCACGTATAAGTATAGACTAAATACCATATGGCGGGTCAGAAAAGAAGGACACGGTTTTGACTGGCTTACTGACGGTATGGTTGGCTAACATTGCTTGTTAAATTAAAATAAAACATTTCTTCTAACATCCCAGAACTATATATTATGGCTGAAATTAACTTGTGATGTGGAAGTAGACCGCTGTTTAGCATTTTTTTAAAGAATAGTAAAAACGGTAATTATGTTACATTTCTACACTTGACTAATACAGAATCTTGAGCTCTTCCAATTTTTATTGCTTTGCGGTATATATCATTTTTCTTTAGGAGACAGAAACTACCTATTTAAGCGTAGGGCTAAGTGTTGCAGTCCAACTATTGATTAAGAGAGAGATATTTAAGCCACATGCGGTACCATTAAACCTCAGAAACTATTTTAACTTAACACCGTCCAAATCACCAGTTGGAACTATATTGTAGCCTAGTATGGCAAATACATGTAAAATTTGACTGAGGAAAAAAAGAGGGAAATTGTACAGTTCTTACCTTTTCGTCAGTGTTCCAGACAGTTCCAGTACGGAGAGGTCTGGAAACGCGCGTGGCTTGCTTTATGAAGGGAAAGCACCGGAAGGAAGGAACCTCACCGCAAATAGCCACACACGTTCTATAAATACGTAGAGCTTGCCTTGCAATTAAAATGTCCCCATCACCAATGTATAACCTTAAAATTTGTCCGGAAATGACGTATAAATATCGTCTTCTGTCACACGATATGATATGCAATGTGATTGGTGGAGAAAATGCTGATAGGAAATGACGTCACTGGGGATATTTGGATTTTTAGACAATCTTTGCGCACTTCTATGAGCACAAAAAGATTGATTGCCACTTAATAGAACAAATGCACAAAATGATCTGTTACTTTCTAGATAACTGTTATCTGAAGTGCCTTTTAGATAAAGAACAAACATAGTGATAAATGAAACAGACACAAGTGTTTTAGGATGTGAAAACGATGACTGTAACTCAAATAAGGAGACGAGGCAAAATGCGCACAATGGAGAACAATTTAATAAAAACAACGTTGGAGCGGAAAACTATGACCAAACACGTTGACGTGATAAAATACCCGACAGTGAGAAAACTGCTTAACAGAATCGTTAAAACTTAAAATACATGTACTCCGATGTCTGATCAATTTTGAATCACTCTGAAAAACAACTATCTGAAGTGTTTGTAGTGTCTGTGTGGTGGTATGGTGCGGTCCTGACATCACTCTTCTCCAAGGTCTTTCCTGAGAACTGATACACCTGGTCTTAAAATGAGCAAATAAGGGTCATGGCACTAACAAGTTGCACTAACCAAGCAACATGCATATGCATGAAAAGGAGATAATATCAGTCAGTCCGAGGCTCGTCAAAGTGACAAGACAAATACGCAGTGAACTATTTTCAGAAGAAATGTACAAAATCTAAAGCCTGTGACAGCCGGTACAGAGCAGCTTGTAGGTAAATATTGTCCGCAAATAAAGCGTGCAAAGAACTTCGTTCTCCGTGTTTTACATCATGAGAACACTCACACCTGACCTGATCGAACGAATGAATGGTAGTATGGATGAATAAATGAACAAATGGATGGATAGATGGATTGGTAGATGAATTACAATACTAAATATATTAGTGAAAAAGTCATTCAAGATTGATTTGTGACTTTTATTTTTCATTTTAGAATAACGCTAACTAAAATGATACTGAAATAATACTGAATTCAAAATATATTTTGTGTATTTCTTTATAGACAGAACAGCATTTGACTTAATTGAAGGTTAAACTATTTTGATAACGGAAGAAAACCGATTTTGCCCGTCAACTGCCTGTCAACTTCACTCTTTATAACGTCTTTAAATTCTTGTGCTACTTTACCTTACCTGGAAGTGCGTCATAGACAAGAATCCGGAAGTACTTTGGACGATACCATGTTGCAGTTTAGCAAGGGTGGGTCCCCAGGTCACTTGTTTTTGGGAGACAACATTTTGCTTAATGGAGGTTCTTGCTGGTAACAGCATATAGGAGGCATTGCAGCTTTGGTGTTGCAAATGGCGGGAAGGGAAGAAGACGTAAAAGAGGAAGAACAAAGGCTTCGACCCGAAGAGGACAAAGGAAATAGAGAAGGAGGGGGAGAGAAGGGACGTGGAGAACAGAAAGGGTGCACCGGTATGACATTTCGCAGGGTTTCCCCTACTTTAAGTTTTCCAAAGAGCTACAAGTATCAAAGCTACTGATATAACAGTATACAATGTCCACAGTGATACCTGTATTCAAAATAAAGACCCAGGTTCACGAATTCACGAATGTTATTGACAAGTTTCCTCGTCACTTGCCATGAAAATGACAGACTACAGTTTACAAAACAATGCAGCGGGCAATGTTTATGTGAACAGCAGAGAGGTCAATGACCTAACGTAAGTTAAATGTAGGCCAACAATTTGGGCCAAGTCTTACGTAAAGGCTACAAAAACGTCTAAAATTCTGATTCAAGCAGAAAGAACAACAATGCTCTGTCATTCTGAAGCCAGTGCCCTGGGGGCGTCGTCATCTCAGAGATCAGAAACCGGTCCTTCTAGTATAATTTTGTATTCATAACAAAGTTAATCTTTCCTCATTGTAGTCTTGTGCTCATTTGTCAGCACATATACAGTACCTGTATCTCTGCTTAAAAACAAACAAACAAACAAACAAACAACTACTTACACTATAAGGCATTTGTGTCTGAAACAAACGTGTCCAAAAGTTACTGGACTAGTATCTAATGACCTTTTCTCCTTTACAGATCGAATAAAGGACTTTGTAGGAAGTACAATATTTCTGGTGTATACTGAAGCCACCCTCTCAACATGGGTAAGCCATTTAAAACGTTAACACTTTCTTACTGTAAATATTTATTTATTTTTCTTGATTGAATGTTGCTTTTTTTTCCATTCAACCACCCTTTCATTCATCCTTCAATTCATCCACCTAATAAATCCCTCATCCATCCATCCATCCACCAACCTTTAACCCTCATTCATTCATTCATTCATTCATTCATTCACTCATTTCATTGATCCTCTCCTTTGCCCCCCAGGGAGACCGTATGTGGTCCTTCGCAGTGGCCCTGTTCCTTATCGACCTGTCTCCAGGATCGTTAAGACTGACTGCCGTGTACGGCTTCTCCAAGTCGTGTGCGGTTCTTCTTCTCGGAGCGATCATCGGAGACTGGATAGACCGGACTGCTAGACTGACAGGTTAGGAAAGGAGCCTTTAAAGGCATACAATTCTAGCCTGGGTGCCATCCTCCGTATCCATGGTAGCCAGGGACATAAGGGAGCCGGTGGAAACTACGGACGATGGCACCCAGACTAATCCAATGCAATCTAAGGGCGCAAAACTAGCTATAGATTTACAAAATGAATTTCCTGGTCATTCTGTTACAAAACGTAGTGGATGCTACTTAAAACGTCCTTACAGTTTTCAACATCTATCCAGTAGTTTCTTGAGTAAAAATTTCATAAGACAGCATTGCATGGAAATTTTAAAAGCCATAGTTTTGAGCTATGATACATAGTAATATATTTTTCCTCCATCTGCCCAGCTGTGCGAGTATCTCTGGTGGTACAGAACGGGTCTGTTGTCATGTGTTCCGTGGTCCTGACTCTCACCCTGGTCTATCGTACACAGATCGAAAACTTACAAGGAGGATGGCTCACGACGTTATGCCAGGTACCATCACATCTTCTTTATTTAGTATTGATATAAATCATCAAATTTTTATTGTATTAATTTTTCTGACAGGTTGTGCAATTTGAAAAGGTGATCAAAATGTTTTTCCATATGTAAATATTGTCTTAAAGACATAATAAGCCTGTACGTCTGTGTTGTCTTCAAACATAGAGTAAGTCATTGAAATAACCGGATAGGTTCAGCTGCCCCCGCCATTTTACAATGAAATAACAACCTTTCCCTTTATTAGACCTGTTAATTAATATTTCTAAAATCCCTTGCTGTATACATAGGGCTATCCTTGGCTAGGGCACCAAAACAAAACTACCTTTTGCCTCAAACTTTTATGACGCTGTATGTATTTCAGCACAATGCATCAATAGCATTACCAATAGCCACAGCAGAATCTTATCTATGTTTTAAAACACTCTTTGATTTGATGCAGTTTATCCTAATGATGAAATTGTGATTACTGTAACGGGTATCTTTTTCAGGTTGTGTTGATCACGATAGCAGTGGTGGCCATCCTCGCCGGTCAGGCCACACGGATCTGTCTCAACAAGGACTGGGTAGTCGTCATCGCTGGTGGGGATAAGGAGAAACTTGCTAGTAAGGCAACATCGTTAAGAGTTGTTCAGGAACGAGTGAAACTGGTTATTTAGGGCAAGAATAACAAGCTATATATCTGGCTTCACTGTACCTGGATTTTTCCTATCCTATTATTAACAAATATTGTTTTTGGGAATGGAAGTACTGTTTTGGGTCGCTGAGATGTGGGTCTGTGTGTCTGTCCGTTCAGACAGAGTAGGTTGACAGCACATGGATGGGGCAGATTAACAGGCAGAATGAGAGGAGGTCAAAAGATGAGACACAGGAAAGGGGCCAGGTGAACGTGAAGTTCACAGAATATATGGCCAGGAGCCAGAATGAATTATAGGTCAACATGGGAGAATTCAAGAAGCTGAGGTTTGCACTATTCCTTCAAAACTAAAATCCCAAAGTTTTTTCCTATCAGAGCTAAACGCATCGATGCGTCGAATCGACCTGTGTTCAAAGATCCTGGCCCCGGTGGTGGTCGCACAGATCATGACCTTTGTCTCCATGTTGGTCGGCGCCCTGTTCATCGCGGGCTGGAACATCGTTTCCATGGCAATAGAATACTACCTGTACCATCGTGTGTACGTCAGTGTTCCTGCACTGGCTGTGAAGGAGACTAAAGGCAAGTTTTGCCTTCGATTTTAAGTGCCCTAATGTGGTCTGTCTAAGGTCTAAGGAATGTGGTGTAGGTCTCTAGTTACAGTGCTTGAAATTGATTCTTTTGCTGCACACCTACATGTACTTTGTAGCATCGGAGTTCTCTGCGCCAGACACATTTTGATTGCACCAAAATATAACATGGCTGTATAGTATAACTGTATGGTTTATAATTGCCATATAATTTCATTTTTTTACAGATAAAGCCAAAGGCAAAGAAGACGATCCAGAGAATCCAAGTGACGGCCAACCTGTCCAGAAGAAACCTCCCCCCACCTGCTTCCAGAAGATGTTCAAACCAGTCCTGACACTCGTCAATGGGTGGAAGACGTACTTCCAACAGACGTGCTTCCGCGCCGGCCTCGGTCTCTCCCTCCTCTACATGACGTTTCTCGGCTTCGACAACATCATGGTGGGTTTTGTGTACACCCAGGGTCTGTCTGAACTCGCCGTCAGCCTCCTGGTCGCAGCTGGCGCCGTGCTTGGAGTGGCCGGTACGTTCATCTACCCTCCTCTACGCAAGAAAGTCGGTCTGCACCGCACTGGGTTGATATCCGGGACGTTACATTGGAGTATCCTGATCCTGTGTGTTGTGTCCGTGTGGGCCCCGGGCAGCCCGTTTGACCCGTTTTATTACACCCGCACATCTAACGTCACCCTCGCTGATGTCACCCTCCTCCTGATGTCCCCCCTCCTCCTACTTTCACCCCCTCCTCCAATTCATCAGCATCTCCCTTCTCTTTCACCGATTTGGCAGTTTCGCCGGTGACCAACACGACTGCTGCGCCGGCAGAAGTACGTCCCGGGTGGATGTACGCGTCTGTGGCACTGCTCATGGCCGGGGTCACACTGGGCAGGATCGGTAGGTGCAGGATCCAGTACGTTTTGTCCGTTTCTTGGACGATATTTCTGTAAGATATTATTCATACTAATCATAGTTCTGTCATTGCCTTCTGTTCTTTTTGGCTATTATGGTATATCTATTGACAGATTATTAACTGATGTCCGCAGGTTTATGGATGTATGACCTGACCGTGACCCAACTGTACCAGGAGACGGTGGAAGAGAACCACCGAGGGGTGGTGTTCGGTGTTCAGAACAGCCTCAACTTCTTCATGGACATGCTGCACTTCCTCCTAGTGATCATCCTCCCTGCTCCTGAGACGTTCGGCTTCCTTGTCCTGTTGTCGTTTGTGTTTACTGTATCTGGACACCTTTTGTATGCATCCTACTCACGCCAGGCAAGGGCTACAATGATGCACAACATGGTATAATTATACAAAAACAGTCAAAACTGCACAAGAGGACTACTCAATGGACTGATAAAAATCTGTTATAATTTATATTATCAATCCTCCTTGAACTCTGTTATCCTGTACAAAATCTACTCAATGACATCACTAGTCTCATCAATTGTATTCATAACTAGAGGACAGTTCTTTCGCTTGTTTAATCTTTCTCATGATTTTGTCCAAAGCTCTCTAACAAGGTTGTATTGTTATTGACAGGTCAGAGGTCACCTGTTCCACTTTGACCTCCTGTGCGTGATATGCAGACCTGGTTCTTCACATAGGTTAGTGACCTCAGCTGACCCTGTACAGGACTCTCCACAGACGACCCATTAACAAGTCCTAAAAATACCTGTAAAAAAACAGTTCCCAAAATTCTAGCAGTATATTCATTAATTGATCCAAAGTTTCTGTGATATTTAATATATGATCATCTATGTTAGGTCCTAGATTTTGGTCCTGCCTAACAAGAAAGCCATCTATTTAACAGTAACGTCCATCCCTTGCTCTTAAAAATACAATTAGGTTGGTAAGACACTGAGTAAAGAGACTCTTTTTACACAACCAAGTCTTTTACTCAGCCGACGTTTCGGTGACCGTCTGTCACCTCCCTCAGGGCCATATGTGCACGCATATATACTAGGTATGTAAATATTGTACATTTGGGAATACTTCTATAGCAGCGACACCTGTGCTGCAGTGCAATGTGAACCAGTCAGAATTGCCCTGAGGAAGGTGACAGACGGTCACCGAAACGTCGGCTGAATAAAAGACTTGGTTGTGTAAAAAGAGTCTCTTTACTCACTAAACAATTTGCTGTCTCTTGTCAACAAGCACTGAGTACTAGTGCTAATCAACTTTGTCGTAAAACTCGAAGGTTGGTGCGGCGTTTGGTCCAACCTCGGGATCCCCAGCCGGGTCTATTGGTGTCTGTACCAGCTTGTTACCCCAGGCAGTAAGAGACGACATCATGCCCATACAGTCCTTCATCTTGTTGGGTTTTCCGTTAAAGGCTTCATGGATACACATCAGCAGGCCTGTGTAGATCTTGTTGAAGTTGTCTGAATATCTGCGAGCCTGCGATTCTTGAGGGTAACTCTCGGTGCGAGGGTTAGAAATGGTAGGCCAGACGCCGTCTTCATAGAAAGGTACCATTCGTCCAACAAAGCTGAATGTCTTGTCACACTTTATCTCTTCATTACATGGGGAAAAGTTGTCAAAGCACTGGCCGAATGATGAGTTATCTCTGCCTGTCTCCATCAGCCTCCTTCCGTGAACCACCTCAGCAAACTTGAAGAAGTGTGAGACCTCGCCCCTTTCGTCCAACGGGTCGCAAGGATCACTCCCCTCGCCTTCGCTAGCGATGTCCACTATGGCAGCCACTGCACTGCGAAGATCATGCACCGCAAATGGGGAACTGTCCACATTGCTAAGCCATTGGTCACTAGTTATCTGCTTGGTCCTTGAACCAATGAACAGAGTTTTCTCTTGTATCACGAGCTCCGTCTGTAGTTTAACCATGGGACAGAGAATCTGATATATGTAGATGGCACCGATGGTCTGAGGCCTTGCCGATGTCTGATTGCACCGTCGATTGATTTCCGCCCAGGTTTCCATGAACTCGCCGTCAGATTTGCCATTGCTGTGCTTTTTGAGACGTTGTTTATGAGTTCGAAGATATTGCACTACGTTAGAATTCGCTAGTTCACAATCTGGCTTCTCTATCCCCTGAAAAACGGTTCGAATCTGGTTTAAAGAGCATCTTGCAAGCTTCACCACAAGACCAGGGTTGGCTCCCGCCGGAAGGGGTGCTGGATAGAACGGTACTACAGACGGCTTGTTCAAATATGGCGCACCGCCAATCGCGTTCAGAAGGTTGGCAACCAGAGCCATGTGTTTCATCTCATCGACAACGACACTTCTTAACAGAGCCGTTACCTCTTTATTGTCGCCATCTTTAATAGAGAACAGCGCACTCAGATAGGGGGGAATGGTGGACAGTTCTAGCTGTACAGCTATCTGCAGGGTCTTTTTTAGATCACCTAAGGTGTAGGTGGCCGTACCCATTTTGGGCAGATTTGTGGATGGGTCTATGTTGTCTAACCAGGATAAAATCATTTTTCGTTTTTGTGGAGACAAGTCCCTGGTCACTGGCATGTGGTTTGGGTCCGTTTCAGGAAGAGTAAGAGAGCATTTTAGTAATTTCCTTTTTCTAGTAACATCCTCGTAGCTCGCAAGGTTGATTATGGGTTTCATGACGGGATAGAGATTGGCGTACTGTTGGAATATCGGGTAGACATGTTCGTACCAGGTCACTTCACCAGGGGTAAAAGTGTACTGTGAATACAGGTGGACTGACATATTGAAGTCCTGAACCTTGAATTCTATTCCGTCGGCTCCTTTCTTGACAATTAGATCGTACAGGTATATCTGGCCATCTAGTTGCTGTTCTTTCCTAGGCTCCCCAGGATCAGTGGACCGGAACGTTATCGAGGAAATGCCGTTGATGTCAGATGGTTGACTGCTGATAATTTTTATAGCTGGTTTGAAACAATCTGGTGGAAATTTTAGACTGGTGCGGACGGAAACCTGTTCGGCAGACTTGCCAAATTGGAAAGCGCGAAACTTCATGGTCCATTCAGTGTCGGGCTCTTGCCGAGCAACACGCTTGCCAATGGCCTCAACGAACAAGCCATCTGGTCTTTCCTCAAACACTGGCTCACATCGCGTTGAGGATATTTGTTGAATAACCGCCAATGGAGCGTTCCCGATTGTTTTCATTGCCTCGGAAGTTACGGAAAGTACGACTATGCCTGCAGTCCTCTGAAACCAGTCGTTTCCACCCAGCCTGATTTCTCCCAAGTCGTACGCCTCGTTGTTCAGAAGCTCGCATCGTCGTTTCGTAGTGTTGTATTGAACGAGATGCAGGCGTTTTCCTGAATGTAGCACCACGTTACCTTTGATGTCAAAAGTCACGCTGTTGCCAAAATCCAACACTACGTTCTTTTTGTTCATGTCAACAAACAGCGGCAAGTGGCCTCCTTCGCCAGGTCCGCTGGTTTTCCACAACATTCTGTTGTACGGGCCATAAGGAAGAGGAGTACTCGACACTGCTGCATAGATTGTCCCAACCACGCGGCCAAACGAAAAGTCCGGGGACTCTGATGCATGTATCAAGTAGCGGGTGTTGAGTTTGACGTATAGCTTAAACCCAGGCAGACAGCGGAGGGACTTGGTCTGCTGGATGAAGTCGGAGTGTTTCGCCAGGTACCCATCGCTCCACTCCACGTTCTGTAGAGTCGAAACCCAGACCGCAGCACGCCTGGTATCCAGATTCACCGTACAGCACTCCGATCCCTCACACGAGTCGTGTAGGTGGTTGAATGACCTCGGGGTGAAGTCCCCTTTGAAGAAGCCGTCCACGCCGACCACCAGACCCCACAGCTGAGACTGATACTGGTGCTCTGTATCCGGGTCCACCAACTTGCCTGCAGCGGTGCTGTTTGAGCCTAGATAATAATAATAATAAGAAGTAAATTTTACTACTAAAAAGAAAGAACCCGCATTTTATAGAAGAAGTGGGTAAATCCGTCTTCCATTGCCTCAGAGGAAGAAGTCAAACCCAGCAAAACTGGTACCATGTATGCTGTAGAATGTAGAATAATGTTTAGACGTAGTCTCTGATACCATAGCATTTTCTTTTTGTTTCATATATGTTGTTTGTACATGCAATTAGCCCTCGGGCATGTATTTGCAATAAATAAACTTTCATGAATAAAAGTAGCTCTATATATAATAATGTAGTCTCCAACCAAATCTTTTGGTGGCTGCAAAGACAGAATCAAATTGGCCAGAGGGTATCCATTGGGCAGACAGAGCGACATGGTGGCCAATTTGATTTTGTATTTCCAGCCACCAAAAGACCTGCTTGGAGACTAATATATTATGATTTTTTAGGAAAGCAGTCCACCTTACTTTCTCTTATAACGGATGCATCCCCATGAAAAGGTAATATCTAAATAGGCTCAAAGCACCCTAAGCCAAAGTTCCGTACACATTACAGTGGCATAGTAGCCAAATCCCAACAGACACACTAGACCCAAAAACATTGAACCTTCCTTGCAAAGGTAAATATTACCTATGATTGGCTGACCAACAACAGAGTCGTCCTGGACACAATGTCCGTCCGCCAGGCAGACTTGCGTCACTGTACAGTCGATCAATCGGAAATCACCGGTTCCTTTCGGGTTCCATTCAGGGTTTTTCCGGGGATCAAACGTGCTGATGTTGAAGTTTTGCGGGTCGTTGTTGTAGGTGGAGGTGTCGGCTAAAAATCTCCCAGCAAAGTTCAAACGGAGTATAGCTGTAGGGATGGCAGGGTCATAGGTAAATGGTGCACTCATAGTACAATGATTACTTAACTTTATTCCAATACAAGGGCACACAAATCAAGGAATCAAATTTTCCAACACAAAGGGCACACAAATTTAGGAATCAAATTTTCCAACACAAAGGGCACACGAATTTAGGAATCACATTTTCGACAGCCACACTGTGGCCTCAATCAGGATAATTACTGACCAATCACTTCAGAACGTAATCCCACGAAAATTACAGACTCCCTATGGCGTTTGACCAATTGCTAACGTCACGTATTCGTCTGAATATATGCAGTCATATACATTTGTAACAGGCTAAGGAAGTATCAATATACAAAAATAATGGTTCATCTTCATCGATATGCATGCCTTATTTTAATATTGATGGGTAAAACGAATTCTATACAAATAACAGCAAAACACAGAGTAAAACTTACCATTAGAACTGGTCTGTCCAGGTCCACCTTTGGCCTCGCCATGATCGCAAAAGTTGTCAATGGAACCTAAAACGAAGGTTTAAAAATTAAACCAACATTTTCTTCTATTTAGAAAATCTCTTGTGAAATTTATTAAATCCGTATAATATATAGGTATTCAAGCAATGTTAAAATATTGACGATATCTTACATCTTAAAGGGGATTATCTGGCGTCGGTGGCGCAACGGTTAAAACGTTGGACTCGGAACCAAAAGGTCCCGGGTTCGATACTCACCGTGGCTCGACGTTGTGCCCTTGGGAAAGGCACTTCACACGACTTCCCTCCCTGCACGGTCGAGTGACGCCCACTGAGCCTCTTAATAGGCTAATCTGTCTAACTGTGTGCCGAAAACACACTAAGGATTTGGTGCGCCAATGTGTCAACATCTGCACATTTGCCACCGAGAACCGTTACAAAAAATCAAAAAGGGGATCATCATATAAAAAGATTATTAGATTGTGATGAAAAGTGAATAAACATTCGAATATACCCCCCTTATGGCCAAACAATTTTCTCTCCCCCCCTTCCCAACGATTCTCACTTCCATCCCTAAAATACCGTACAGTCCCTAGCGTCATGTGTTTCTAATTTATCACTGGGGTAACCTTAGCCGGTGACCTTGACTGGTGACCTTGACCCAAGCTAAGAAATCGCATGCCGCTGACGTAACACCTGTTTACAACGCCTTCTGGCTAAACACATTAGGAGTAATCAGGTCAAGTCTGTTCAGACAAGCGATAAAATTGATATGATAACAAATAAAAAGAAACCAAGACAACGTTAAGAACCACCACGGCTTCGCTATGTGCTAGTAGTTATTTTGTTCACAAGATACAAGATACAAGATCTCTTTATTGGAAATCGCAGTGTTGCCACTGAATTAAAACCAATTTACAATTCAAAATAAGGAATTCATTAAAACCTGGAATTCATTAAAAGCTGGAATTCATTAAAGTTCACAAATATGGACAAATTATACACACACACATTACACAAAGAGGCAAGTTACTGTCCGTGCTGGTTTACAAGTCTTGTCATGTACGGCACACAAGAGTGTTCAGAAAGCCTGTCCCAATTCTGAATCACGGTTTCCTACAACTAAAGATTCATACAACATTCTCCTTATCCAATACGGGGCAAAAGCTTAGATCATACACAACTGTTAAACATACGCATTCCTTACGTCACAGTGTACCAAATAGCAGACATACCTGCAGTGACCAGCTCTAAGAAAGCCAAAAAGATCGTAAAAAGAACGACCTGCCCTGCCCGCTCCATGTTGTCAACGATCGGCAGACGTTTTGGCCTTGGTCTAGTTTGCGACCTCGCTTGAAAATTGTTTTTTAATACCCGACAGGACACCTGTTTTTCGTCAAGATATCTGTAGCTCTTTGTCTTCTGTGACTGTTGTCTACAAATACTATAATCTTTTCCAGTTTGGTATTACTTAGGAATATCTGGAGAACGTTGTACGTATGCCCTAAAGGCCTAATAGGGCATACGCACAAGAACATTAAATGTCTTTTGAAAACCTACACAATGTCTAGCGATCAATGCTGAACTTAACAAAAGAAGAATGATAGTTCAACGCTGACATACCACTGTCTGGTACGGCTGATGACGACAGGCTCGGATCAACACAAGTCACTGAAATTATCAGGAGAAGCGCCAAAACGCGGCAGGACTCCATGATGTCCGCCCCTTTTCTGTCTAGGAGACGACTGCAAAAGCGTTGGGGCGGGGTGTATGTGGCACAGGACATCTTTAACAGGATAAATAAACCGGAATCATAAACAGAAGGGAACTTTTTTTGTTTCAACCTTTATTTAACCTTGTAAAGTGTACAGTACATATGTGTAGCAGTACAACGTTAATACGTTGTATCACGTAACTAAGCCGCAAACTTGTAAACATCTATGTACAAGGTGTGTGTGTGTGCGTGTGTGAGTGTATGTGTGTGTGTGTGCGTGAGTGTATGCGTGTGTGTGTATGTGTAGTTGTGTGTGTGTGTGTGTGTGTGTGCATGTGCGTGTGCGTGCGTGCGTGCGTGTGTGTGAGAGAGAGAGAGTGCGCGCGCGCGTGTGTGTGTGTGTGTGTGTGTGTGTGTGTGTGTGTGTGTGTGTGTGTGTGTGTGTGTGTGTGTGTGTGTGTGTGTGTGAGAGAGAGAGAGAGTCGTGGACAAAGTATATTAACACATGGGAGACTCTTACAACAAACAGCGCTTTGGAGGCAGGAAGGTAAGAAGAGCTTACATCAGGGGAAGAAAAACAGAGACTCGCATCAAACGCTCTAAGCGTAAAACAAAGAATAAGTACTTGGTGTAGAAGAAGCATATTTTATTTTTCATGGTCTTACCAGACTGACGAAATGCCTACTAGGGGTATCCTTATGATTTCCAAGTGGTTATAGGCCTATATAGGCCAAATAAAAACATTAACAGTTGCCAAAGTACAGAAGATGTTAATATTACTATTCCTGAAAAACGTCTTTGTTCACAACCTGGTTTCTTATCTTTTATTCGTCAAGAATGTATGTTCAAAAGGACAGCAAGAACATCGTCACTTCGGTCCGTACTGTTCCAACAGGTCCCAAATGGCTTCTTCAGTAGTGGCGATTTCAATCTTTTCCACACTAAGACTTTCTTTTAACAGCTTTGCCATTATTTCTTCATCTTTTGGGCTTGCCTTGTCGTCATCGATCACGACGTCCTGCATTTTCTCTTCTTGTCTTCCATCCCCAACGTTATAGTTTCTCGCTTCTCTTTGCCCCTGTGTGACCCCGGCGTCTCCTGAAGCACCGACAGTTGCACTACCGCCCTTGGACCGCAAGATGGCATTCCTACCCCTCTCTCCTTCCTCCCTCTGCCGCTGGTAACAGTTGATCAGTAGCTTGCGTAGCATGTTTCTGTTGCTTGTGTTACACGCATCAAAACACAAACTTATCTCGCTGGTCTTAGGGATAACTCTACATTTGAGAGATTTGTTAGCCAACCGTCCAGAATCGTCCGTTCTTGGAAGGGTTTGGATTCTTAAACAAACCGCACTGGCGATCTCAGGTTTATTTGATTTGAATGGCTTAAACGGTATCCATAGATTTAGTTCCAGAACATGCCGATTGTTCTATCACTAACATCACCTAGGAGACATTGAAAATGCAAACAATCCAAAGGCTTACCAAGGTATGGTAGCCTGTACGAAGTTAAGTCAAGTAAAGGTAGTATTAAACGTATGGCTGGTGGCGCACTAGCCAAGGCACACTGGCGGAAAGTGTAGTGGAAGGCGTTCAGTACCAAGGACACAAACTGCTTGTAATTTTCCATTTGCCAGTTTTTTTCTTGAAAATGTTTTTCTTTCCCCCATGTGCATACTTAGCCACAACCGCTTGCCATAACTCCCCCATGTCAGGGCCCCTCACTTTCTGTGGCTATATATAGCTATTGACTCCGGTTACACCTGTGCCCGAGGCACTTAACTTTTAACGACGTACACCCTGCCCCGCCTAGACGCTTTTGCAGTTTTAGCCCAGACAGAAAAAGGGCGGACACGATGGAGTCCTGGCGCGTTTGGGCGCTTTTCCTGATAATTTCAGTGACTTGTGTTGATCCGAGCCTGTCGTCATCAGCTGTACTAGACAGTGGTATGTCAGCGTTGTTACCTTCATAGGTCTAACTAGCATTCTATGCTTTTGTTAAGTTCATCAGTGATTGCTAGACATTGTAGGTTTTCAAAAGACATTTGATGTTGTTGTACGTATGACGTAATAGGCCTCCTTGAGCAACCCACCCCCGGTACGAGTATATCGATGCACAGTACCAGTTTGCGGCTCCGTTACTCCTTTACGTGATACAGCGTAACGTTCCTTTCTGTTTATGATTCCTGTTTATGATTTCCTGTGGTATCCTTAACCTGTGCCTTGATCGACTGAAAGTTAGTGACACATTAACATTTCCAAATTGACCAAGGTGCCAAAGAGTCAATTATAGAAAGATGTGTAAAATGCTATTAGGTTATGAAGTAACTGTTTTTCTCTGACAGACAACATGAAGGTGTTTTCATATCTGTTTTTCTCTCTCTACACCCTCCCCTTTTTAAGCCTGTACCCTCGGCATGACCCTAGGTCAGACGACAGACGTTATGAAGTAAGATCAATCACCCTTCAGCTTCTGATCATTGCTTTCGACGAGGAGGTTACATTTTTGGATCTGCGCGTCTCTGTGTGTCTGTTGGTGAACTATATAACTCGCAAAGTCCAAATGATTTAAGTGAGGGAACTTGTGAAAGTGAAGTTTTTTTTTTCATATCTTTATTTACACCCCTCCACCTTCTTGTTTTTTGTGCCTCCACCCTCGCCATGACTCTTGGTCAGACGACAGAAAAGGTGTTCAACCAGTTACTGTCCGCCCTGGGCATTTATTACAACCATTGCATACATGGAACGTACTTATGTTGGGGCACTCTTTAGGGGTGTTGCAATTATGCACGCACTCACACACACACACACACACACACACACACACACACACACACACACACATGCACATACACACACATGCACATGCACACACATGCACACACACACACACGCACACACACACACACACGCACACGCACACATGTACACACACACACTCACACAAACACACACGCAAACACACACACAAGTAAACACACACACAGGCACACGCACACATGTACACACACACAAACACACACATGCACACACACACGCAAACACACACACATATGCAAACACACACGCACACGCGCACACACACACGCGCGCGCGCGCAAACACACACACACACACACACACAAGCTATCACACACACCCTATCGCGCGCGGAATCACATAAAACAATCGGCATCAACAACACAGAAAGGATTTTGGAAACGCTAGACAATTGTTGACAAGGGTGTGTCGTTAAAACTAAATATTGATGAGGTAAAGGTTAAAGGTGTTCCTCTGGAGCCATTGACTAGCTGATAAAACTGGATCGGCAGCTTTGCAAAAGTGCCTCATTGCAGTGTGTGTGTACGTGTGTGTGTGTGTGTGTCTGTGTGTGTGTGTGTGTGTGTGTGTGTGTGTGTGTGTGTGTGTGTGTGTGTGTGTGTGTGTGTGTGTGTGTCTGTCTGTCTGTCTGTGTGTGAGAGGCATAAGTCGAGAAGTTGTGGATGGACCTTGATTGGTGTTGACATAAAAAAAAGGGAATCTTTAGATCATGGACCCCCAGCAGATCTCGGAGGTACTACAATACTTGCTCGAGGACAACATACATCTTGGTTGTACTTTCTTGTCTTATTTGCCTATACTTGCCTAATGAAGTGTGATGCCATTCCCACAGCTATACTTCGTTTGAACTTTGCTGGGAAATTTCTTGCTGATGTCTCTACTTACAACAACGACCTGCAAAACTTCAACATCAGCACGTTTGATCCCCTGAAATACCCTCACTGGAACCCCAAAGGAACCGCTGATTTCCGATTGGTCTACTGTAATGTGACGCAAGTCTGCTACGGTGACAAGGGCGGCGAGTGTGTCGACGATCACGAAAAGGACAGTATAGTTGGCCAACCGATCATAGGTAATGTTCATGTCTTTATTGATAGAGCTACTTCGTATTCTTATGATGATGATGACTTCTTATTTTTACCTTCGCCAAGAAGGTTATTTTTTCCATAGCGTCTGTGTGTGTGTAGGTGAGTGTGTGTGTGTGTGTGTGTGTGTGTGTGTGTGTGTGTGTGTGTGTGTGTGTGTGTGTGTGTGTGTGTGTGTGTGTGTGTGTGTGTGAGTGTGTGTGTGTGTGTGTAGGTGAGTGCGTGTGTGCGAGCGTGGTTTAGCACGATAACTCAAGAAGCTTTTGGTGGATTGTCATGAAACTTTTTGGCACCCTGGTGTCAAATAAAATGAGGATCTTATTTTCATATCATTATAAGTTGAATAAACTCTACACCGTTGCAAATAAGTGTCATTTAGGGAATTGAGGTGCCACAATATGAGGCTTTACAAGTGTGTTTACAAGTCGGAAACACAGTTGTCAGCCGAGTTATTTGTGGTCGTAAACCTCGAGTGGGCTCAATTTAGCACCAACCATAAAATGTCAGAAATATGAGATAATTTCATAAATATGTTGAAAAGAGAAGTAAACTACAATCACACGATTTTTTTTTCGATTGAAATATTACAGTTTTGGTCCACGACCGTATTTACGGCCGATCAGCAACAAAACTTTTTATTACTATTCACAATTCGAGAAAAAAACACTTACATGTTGACTTTTTTGACATTGGTATGAATGTACATCATATTAACCACCCCCCCCCCCCAAAAAAAAAACACAACAACACTACTTTGATTATCCAGGCTCGGACAGCACCACTACAGGAAAGCTGGTGGACCTGGATCCAGACGACCAAACACAATCTCAGATCTGGGGGCTGGTGGTCGGCGTGGACGGGTTCTTCAAAGGGGACTTTGCACCGCGGTCATTCAACCACATGCACCATTGTAAGGAAGGAGCTCGTAGTGATCTGGCATTATGTGCCGTCTTTCTGTCAACTTTACAAAACGTAAAGTGGCTCAACGGGCTCCAGACAAGCCAGTCCGAGTTTGCACTTCAAGTCAAGTCTCTCAGTCGTAAGGATGGCTTTCAGTTGTACATCAAACTTAACGTCTACAACATGGATGTAAACTCTACGTCTCCAGACTTCCCGTATGGCCGTGTGGTTGGTACCGTATATGCAAAAGTGTCGAAGACTCCCCATCCTTATGGCCCGTACAACAGGATGCTGTGGGACCCCCGCGGAGGTGGTCACGTGCCGTTCTATGTTGACACCAACAATAATGATGTCAAAGTGGTATTGGACTTTGGTAACAGCTTGAAGCTAGACGTCAATGGTAGTGTGGTCGAATCATCAGATGGACCCCTGCACCTCCTTCAATACAAAGGAAAGGATCTAAACTGCGGACTTCTGAACAACAGAGGATACGATCTAGGAAAAATCAGGCTGGGTGGAAATGACTGGTTTCAGACGACTGGGGGCATAGTTGAACTTTCAGTAAATCCCGAGGATATTGAAACTATTGAGAACACCCCACTGACGGTCATTCAAGTGAACCACAGCATCAATTACCCACGGCACTGCGAGCCAGTGTTGGAGGAAAGACCAGATGGCCTGTTCGTCCAAGCCATTGACGATCGTGTTGCACGACAAGAGCCCGACACTGAGTGGACTATGAAGTTTCGCACTTTCCAGTTTGGCAGGTCTGCTAAAGAGATCATCACCAGGCCCAATCAAACCTCGCCAGAAAATGACACATCAATACAAATTGTCCGCACCGAACCATCCGACATCAACGGCATTTCCTCGATAACGTTCCGGTCCACTGATCCTGGGGAGCCTAGGAAAGAACTGCAACTAGATGGTCAAGTATATTATTACAGTATAATCGTCCAAAAAGGAAGCGACGGTACAGAATTTGAGGTTAAGGACTTATTCGTATGCGTTCACCTGTATTCAGAGTACACCATCCCCAAGGAAGTGACCTGGTACGACCACGTCTACCCGATATTCCTACAGTACGCCAATCTCTATCCCGCCATGAAACAAATAATTAACCTTGCAAGCTACGAGGATGTTACTAGAAAAACCAAATTACTCAAACACGCTCTTACCCTTCCTGAAACGGACCCAAATCACATGCCGGTGACCAGGGACTTATCTCCAAAAAAGCGACAAATGATTTTATACTGGTTAGACAACGTAGACCCATCCACAAAGCTCCCCAAATTAGGAACGACCACCCACACCTTAGATGAACTAAAAACGACCTTGCAGCTAGCTCTACAGCTGGAACTGGCTACCATTCCCCCCTACCTGAGTGCGCTGTTCTCGATTAAAGATGGCGACAACGAAGAGGTGGCGGCTCTGATCGGAAGTGTTGTTCTCGATGAGATGAAACATGTGGCTCTGGTCGCCAACGTTCTGAACGCGATTGGTGGCGCACCAAATTTGAACGATAGATCTGTGTTCCCGTTGTACCCAGCGCCACTTCCGGGGGGCGCCAACCCTGGGCTTGTAGTGAAGCTTGCGAGATGCTCATTGAACCAAATTCGAACCGTTTTTCAAGGGATAGAGAGGCCAAACTGCAACCAAAAATATTCTGATGTGATTCAATATCTCCGCCGTAATAAAAAATATATCATAAATTTAAGGCACGGCAATGACGATGATAACGGCCACGTGCACACCTGGACGGAAATTTCCGAACGGTGTAAAGAGATAACAACAAGACCTCAGACCATCGGTGCCATCTACATCCACCAGATCCTCTGCCCTATGGTCACACTACACAAACAGGGGAAATCTCCTTTTAGAGGTGACAAAGCAAAGCAAATAACTGGTAAACAATGGCTTAGCAATGTGGACAGTGTACCATTTGCGGTGCATGATCTTCGCAGTGCAGTGGCTGCCATAGTGGACATCGCTACCGAGGGCGAGGGGACTGATCCGTGCGACCCGTTTGACGAAAGAAACGATGTTTCACACTTCTTCAAGTTTGCTGAAGTGGTGCACGGACGGAAACTAAAAATGATAAATGAAACAGCCCCAGACAAGTCATCATTGGCACATTTCTTTGAAAACTTTTTCGAATGTTATGAAGACATGAACTGTACAACGGCATTCGGCTTCATTGGCAAAATTGTGCCTTTCTATGAAGACGGTGTCTGGCCGACCATTTCTAACCCGCACACCAAGAGTTACCCTAAAAAATCGCAGGCTCGCCAATATTCAGACAACTTCAACATGATCTACACAGGCCTGCTGATGTGTCTTCATGAGGCTTTTAACGGAAAGCCCGACAAAATAAAGGAATGCACGGGTATGATGTCGTCACTTCATGCCTGGGGTAAAAAGCTGGTGCAGACACCGATAGACCCGAATGGAGATCCCGAGATTGGGCCAAACGCCGCACCGACCTTCGAGTTTTACGAATTCGAACCGATTGATAAAAAAAAGGAAAAGGACGTCGACTCAACTTCAACCCCACGGAGCGGCAAAGATGAGATCATGCCCGAGTCCAGGATGGGTATTAGGATTCTGATCGGTATCACTGTTATCGGTGCAATCGTTCTGTGCGCGACATATGTAGTTCCGAAGATAAAAAAAGCTGGATGGAAAAGCTGGATGGAAGGCTGGAGGAAAGGCTTAATGGAAAGAAAACAAAAGAAAGACATCTAAACGCCAAGACTTCAGCAAAAGTCTGTGTTTGTTCTTAGATTCTCAGATACGTCGAACAGACAAACGAACACTAACGTCATAATAACCCGTGTATTTGAACCATAAAGCTGTCACCGTCTCATCATCACCACAAAACCATTACCACTTCATCAAGATCTTACACAATCTCAGCGCCATCATCATCGTCCCAGCACCATGGTCAAACTATCAAGCTATCACTATCAGCACAAAAGCAGTCGCCTCATCAGCATCATGAAACCATCAGCACCATGAAACTATCAACATCTTATCAGCACCATGAAACCATCAGCACCATGGAACCATCACCATCTTATCAGCACCATGAAACCATCACCGTCTCATCAGCACCATGAAACCATCACCCTCTCATCAGCACCATGAAACCATCACCGTCTCATCAGCACCATGAAACCATCACCGTCTCATCAGCACCATGAAACCATCACCGTCTCATCAGCACCATGGAACCATCACCGTCTCATCAGAACCATGGAACCATCACCGTCTCATCAGCCATCGCCGTCTTATAGGTACCATGAAATAATCATCGATTCACCAGCATCATGAAATTACCACTGATTTATTAACATCATAATCTCAGTTGTATCAGCACCATAAAAAACATCACCATCGCCTCTTCTCGAGTCTGGAAACTACTTTCTTTAGAGTCTGGAAACTACTAAATCACCTTTTTCAGTACGTAATGCATTTTACAATACGTTATACATAAGGCTTTGCATTTGGTGTTACGCAAGCAAAGATGTTTCATTATGGTTCCACAATAATTAGTATGTTATATGTTATTAATCAGACTTTGTGTGTAATCAGGATTCAGGCAAGCAAGAATTTTACGTTAGAGTTTCAGTAACGTGTGGGATTGCGTGGTGTGCTAATATGTCATTTATTAATCAAGAATGTAGAATAAACGGCAGGTTAGAAAAACGTAGCATTTTGAAATATTTACACAGTAACCAAAAACAAGTCATATCATGTGACTAAGCAGTTGTATTGTTGAAAAAATATAAAATTCTTCACCTCGTTTTCGGTATTAGAGGCAAATTATAATGACATCTACAAGCAAATTCACAGCTTTTTGAAGGAAAGGGGATTTTTTTGCAGAAAGATAGTACTTAATGTTTAATCAGTAATCTAAATCTGAAATGTAGAATCCAGCTTCGTCATTATTTTTGGAAACGAGTTAGTCTTTAATTTAAGTAGTAAATTGTGCTAACATTTTTTTCGGACTCAGCTTTTAAATACTCGTATACAACCAATACCCGAATTTTCGAACAAACTTGAAATAATCTTAAAAGTTTCAAGAAATGAAACGTTATATTTGTCGTCCCCCCTGAATGTATATGTATCATTACCTTTAATCCAGAACATATATATTAGGTAATTATCAAGTATATGTATTGAATAATTAATACTGATTGACGGCGAGGCCTATGAAAATTAATGTTGTGTGTCCAAGTACGGTCGTGATAAATCAGTGTCAACAGATAGGGATTTTTTTTAAATAATGTTTTGGGACGAAGCAATGAAACAAATACGTTTAAACAGTGTTACGCTGATATACAGCAGAACACCGGCATTGATAACATCGTAGTTCAATCGTACAGACATACATTGTACATTCATACATGTACAACTATTGTAGTGAAGTGACCAAAGAAGCACTGTGTTTATTACTTCACTTTATGTAGCCTTTTCTGTCCCAACAGAAATGAGGAGAACATGATGGAATGTTTTCATCACTCAGATCTAAAATGTTATGTCCCTTTTTAGCAGTTGACTTTAAAAAAGTTGGATTTGGCAAGTTTTTGTTAGGGTCGCCGATCGGCTAATTGGAAACAACATTTTCTACTAGGCCTGACAGAAAAGTTAGAATTTTTTGTGTACACTGAATGGAGAATTTTTAATTAGTTTTTAATAATTATACAATAGTTTTACCTGCATGTGTTAGGCCACACCAAATTGGCTAGTTGGTTATCAGAAGAAAATATGGAGCGAGTCAGCATGTCAATCTCATCGTATTGCGAGTATGTTGGAAAGGAATACGGTATTTAAAAAGCATGCTCAAAATAAAAGGAGTGATAAATGTACCATCATAATAGACAGATATGAAACATGAATGGAAAATATGAATAACATCACTACAATTTCATAATCAAAGTTTTGTACATATTTCGTCGTGTTTCGTAAACAACAAAAAGAAAACAACTTTCTTTTTGTAACGTGAAATTGAATTCCCCTGTACAATACAGTGATAAGTATTGTTTGATAAGTTTTGATGAATGGCAAGTTGTACCAAAATTATGATAAAATGTTACTACCTTACAGGAAATATTTAGGCTCAGATGAAATGTGTAGAAGAAGTAATTTCATGAACCGGAATTGCAAAACCATCAGTGAATGAATGATATCTAACTCATTTTTAACTGTCCCCATCTCGTGGCGTGGCGAATAAATAAATTGGTGTGGCCTTAGCATGACGTTACAATTTACTTTGGATTTCAGTAGAATGTTTAGAATACATATGATTATAATATCAATATATCATATTCGCTTTAACGCTGCTTGGGGCTAATAAAATATGGTAAAATCCATTAATGTTTTTGTCATTCTTTGTGAAGTCTGCATTCAAACTTCCACTAAAAAGCGTGCACGTGATTGAACGATCGGTTTACAAATAGAGAAACGCACAGTTATCGACTGTAGTTAATATGTTTATATTCACAGAAGGAAAACATACTGTTTGTTCTCTGTCTCCTCTTCTTCTTTTCCAAATAAAGTAAATATGCATTTTGTATCACTGTGAGATCAGGATCTTATGAAGTTTCAAGATATTTTGATCCCTTCACGGTGTAATATGGTCTTTGGCGCCATGGATTTTATTTACAAGGGATGTTCAACAGCAACAACAACGTCACTTAGGTCCGTACTGTTCCAACAGGTCCCAAATGGCTTCTTCAGTAGTGGCGACTTTAATCTTTTCCACACTAAGACTTTCTTCTAACAGCTTTGCCATTATTTCTTCATCTTTTGGGCTTGCCTTGTCGTCATCGATCACGACGTCCTGCATTTTCTCTTCCTGAATTTCATTCCCAACGTTATAGTTTCTCGCTTCTCTTTGCCCTTGTGTGACCCCGGCGTCTCCTGAAGCACCAACGGTTGCACTACCGCTCTTGGACCGCAAGATGGCATTCCTTCCCCTCTCTCCTTCCTCCCTCTGCCGCTGGTAACAGTTGATCAGTAGCTTGCGTAGCATGTTTCTGTTGCTTGTGTTACTTGCACCAAAACGCAAATTTATCTCGCTGGTCTTAGGGATACCTTTACTTTAAGAGATTTGTGAGCCAACCGTCCAGAATCATCAGTTCTTGAAAGGGTTTAGATTCTTAAACAAACCGCACTGGCGATCTAAGGTTTATTTTGTTTTGAATGACTTAAACGGTATCCATAGATTCAGTTCCAGAACATGCCGATTGTTCTATCAATAACATCACCTAGGAGACATTATTAATGCAAAACAAGCGTTAAACGATCGCGAAAGGCTATCTAGTATGGTAGGGTAGCCTCTACAAAGCAAGGTCGTTCTGAACGTCCTTGTACAAAGTAAAGCTATATTATGTAGAATTTCAACTACTCTAAACATCGTTGTTTTACATATTATCTTGCTCAGTAAGCCTACCTGGGTTCAGAATGACATTTATGGATTAAAATATCAACGTCGTTACGCCACAAAAACGTGTTGGAAAACTGCGCAATCCTGGGCGCTGGCGCGAATGGAGGCCATGTTTGTTTACATCCGACCGCGCCCGAGCATTACCGAATCCAGCCGAACCGCAAGCCACTGTAGAACACGTTATTCTCTAAAATACGGCAAACGTTAATAGTGCAACAAAACACCTTAGACCTACGTAGTGTTAGTGTTGAACGTATGGCTAGTAGCACACGAGCCAAGGCACATTGGCGGAACGTGTAGTGGAAGGTGTTCAGTACCAAGGACAGGTCCACTTGCTTGTGACATTGTACTGGAAGGTGTTCAGTACCAAGGAGAGGTCTACTTGCTTGTGACAGTGTAGTGGAAAGTGTTCAGTACCAAGGACAGGTCTACTTGCATTTGGCAGTGTAGTGCTGTAGACTTATATTAAGGTACAACAACGAAATAGTAAAGTCAAGAAACTAATTTCATATGTTCATTTATTAAAACCAACTGAAAGCCAGATACACATAAACATCTTTAGAATCATATATGTAGTTAATCCTTTGGCACTCTATGGGGCTGAATTCTTACTGCTACAACACTCCTTCATCTTTAATTGCGAAGGACTACCAAGGAAAGACACCAGTAAAGGACACATGCCCAGGAGAATAAACTACTTAAGAATATATTATGAAAATATTCCATCATTTTACCCCAATTTTAATTTTTTTCGCATGTTATAAAACCTTTATTTGTAACATATTACTCAATAGATACTAATTTGCTAAATATAATATGATAATTTCCTTGATCATATTTACATTCTATGAAAATATTTCTCATAATCCTTGTAGAAAACACCATTCTTTTTTTTACTTACAACCACACCATCAAATTATGCTACAAGTCATTTTAACAAGAAATGGCAGTGATGACATGGCACTCTGGATAACACTGATCTGAATATCATGAATTCTTTCACTATTCAAAATTTTTGCTTATTCCAACCCTGAGACATAATACACATGATATGTAGTTATGTACTAGTAGATGCCATACTTTGTACCCAGTACAATTGTTATGCAATAAAGTTATTATTATCATACTAACCCCAAACAAAACCAAATCAAAGAACAACACATAAAATAAAACCAGGTTCTCTCAACACATGGAAAGACAACACACAATTAGTTCTTTTCTGTAGTTCCCAACACACCTTATTATCAATATTATTTGCAGCATTTGACATATTTATTTAGTTTGTATTCTGTACTTTATTAGTTTGTTCTGTTTCTTATTATTTTGACACTATGGTTGTACCTAAGTTGGTTATAACTATCATTTTATTATATTATGTATGTTTTGTGCAGGGAGCTTTGAAAAATGCCATCATGGTGATATGCTGACCCTGGGTAAATAAATAAAAATGAAATTAAACATGATCATTTTAGTGACTCTACCAGATTGGAGTTTGTACCTTGTACTTTTACTGGCTCCATATGCATGATCACACAGAAGTGTGATACTCAATAGTGTGATGCCCAATTTCTTCTTTGTAAACATTGTTGGCCCTCCCCTGTACCGGCTCAGCTGTGCTGTTGTTGGGGGGTTGACGGTGCACCTTCCCACACTTGGCACACAGGTACATACGCTCAAAGTGGAACAGGTGACCTCTGACCTGTAGAACAACATGGCCGACACACAGATTTAGAGCAAGGTCAGCGGAAGGTCAAAAGAAAGACAGAAGTGGGGGACATTAATTTGATATTCACCAGTTTCTATTCTTATTATATAGAAAAATTTCATTGTGATCAAAATGACCAAAAGTATAGTATGTACCATTGGTATGGGGTGAGAATTGAAATCATGGGTGAAAATACTATCTATTATGGTTTATTTGAAATATTGTCCTATATATGTACAATGCATGGGTGGTAACAATTGTGAATACAATTGAACCTGTTAATTGAATACAATGAGAGAAATCCTGGTATGGAAAAAATTAAGAAAAGACAACCCACCTTACGAGAATATGAGGCATACAAGGTGTGTCCAGCGACAACAAACGCAAAGGACAAGAGGATCAAAAATCCAAATGTTTCCGGAGCAGGGAGGATGATCACTAGAATGAAGTGCAGCATGTCCATGAAGAAGTTGAGGCTGTTCTGAACACCGAACACCACCCCCCGGTGGTTCTCCTCCACCGTCTCCTGGTAAAGTTGGGTCACGGTCAGGTCATACATCCATAAACCTGCAGACATCAATTAATAATCAATCAATAAGTCCATAACTCAAGTCAATAGATATACCATAATAGCCGAAAGAAGGCAATGACAGATACAATGAATGATATCTTAGTCTTATTAAACATTTTGTTTTTCCTATGTTTCCTCTTCTTCTGTTTCAAACACTGATCTCTGACCTGGCCAATGACCTGATTTGTTGACGTCTGTCACCATGGTAACTTTCTGTTGGGTTACATAGTGTTGCAATTTTATAGTAGGAAGAATTTATACTCCTGTCTGACCATATGTATGAATGTATTTGAGTAAGAATTAACAAAGCAGACCATATGCACTTAGGTAAACATTATGCATTCGCTTTGTAAATGTTACCTTTCAAGTCTAGTTTCAAATTTGGAAGAAACAAAACCGATACTTAGTATGTTCTGCACCTACCGATCCTGCCCAGTGTGACCCCGCCCATGAGCAGTGCCACAGACGCGTACATCCACCCGGGACGTACTTCTGCTGGCGCGGCAGTCGTGTTGATCACCGGCGAAACTGCCGAATCGGTGAAAGCGAAGGGAGACACTGATAAATTGGAGGAGGGGGTGAAAGTAGGGTAAGGGGTGACATCAGGGGGGAAGGTGACATCCGCGAGGGTGACATTAGATGGGCGGGTGTAATAAAACGGGTCAAACGGGCTCCCCGGGGCCCACACGGACACCACACACAGGATCAGGATACTCCAATGTAACGTCCCGGATATCAACCCAGTGCGGTGGAGACCAATTCTTTTACGAAGAGGAGGGTAGATGAATGTTCCACCGACTCCGAGAATTCCGCCGGCCGCGACCAGAAGGCTGACCGCGAGTTCGGAGAAACCCTGGGTGTAGACAAACCCAACGGTGATGTTGTCGAAGCCGAGAACCGTCATGTACAGACAGGAGAGTCCGAGGCCCGCGCGGAAGCATGTCTGTTGGAAGTAGATCTTCCAGCCGTTGTACAGGGTGAAGAAACTGTGGAACATCCTGTGGTGGCAGGACTGGGGCGTGGTGTCTGTTTTTGTTGATTCGTCGGTCGGGTTTTCTGCATTTTCATCATTGCGTTCTCCATCCTCTGAAAAATAATGTTGTCAGATATCAGAAATATTGAGGGAATTGATGTTGATACAATTTTTTGTTTACAGAGAACATTTGGCACATTTCTACAGGTCAGATCCAAACCAGCTTTGGGCTGGTACCTTGAGTGATGCAGAATACACCATGTAGTATTTACAATGTATTCTACATCATTGTATGCAATAAGACAAAGTTGATTTGTGAGTTGGTACGCACCTTCTGTTTTAGTCTCCTTCACGGCCAGTGCAGGAACACTGACGTACACACGATGGTACAGGTAGTATTCTATCGCCATGGAAACGATGTTCCAGCCCGCGATGAACAGGGCGCCGACCAACATGGAGACGAAGGTCATGATCTGACCCACGACCACCGGAGACAGGATCTTTGTGCAGAGGTCGATCCGCCGCATCATGGCATTCATGTCTGAGGAAAAATTTACACAAATTAGGCCTAGGAAAAAATGTTGTGTTTCCTGTTTCAGTCCTGAAAAAATTAGGGTCGGTAGGTTAAGGGATTATTATTTTTTTTAAGACTTCAGTGATATTTACATAGGGGTCCTACCTATACAATACAGTTTAACAAAGTAAAACTTGCATGAGGATACTTTTATTTTTAATGTCAATGTTAGAAAACATTTCATCACTCAGGTGTTAGAAAAAGTTGATCAGCTCGAAAAATTCATTATCTGTATCCGCCAAAAAAGTCTAGGGTTGACAGGTTTTTCTAGGGGTCGGTCTGGAAACAGGTAACACAACAACCCTAGGTTTAGGCATAAATTACATACAGGGAACAAAGGTGCATACAGTGCAAATGAATTGAACAAAATGTGCCGGCCTAGCATAGAGGATGACAGGACTATGACTTACTAGCAAGTCTCTCCTTCTCTCCCCCAGCTATCACAGCTACCCAGTCCTTCTGTAGACAGATGCTGGTAGCCTGGCCAGCTAGGATGGCAATCACTGCTATAAAGATCAGAAGTACCTGCAGAAATAGGTGCTTTTAAAACCTGTGCAAATGGTAATGAACTACTACTAGTATATATAGTATATGTAGCTATTCTGGAGAGTATCAAAAACAAAAGAAATTAGTTTCTTGACTTTACTTTCGTTGTTGTACCTTAATATCAGTCTACTAGTACACCACTACAATGTGATATGCAAGTAGACCTGTCCTTGGTGCTGAACACCTTCCACTACACTGTCACAAGCAAGTAGACCTGTCCTTGGTGCTGAACACCTTCCACTACACTGTCATAAGTAAGTAGACCTGTCCTTGGTGCTGAACACCTTCCACTACACTGTCATAAGTAAGTAGACCTGTCCTTGGTGCTGAACACCTTCCACTACACTGTCACAGGCAAGTAGACCTGTCCTTGTTACTGAACACCTTCCACTACACTGTCAAAAGCAAGTAGACCTGTCCTTGGTACTGACGTACAAATGTGTCTGTTAGGCTGGCTCTCTCCCCTTTTGACTCTATCTTTGCTTATTCACCAGATAACAAGATTGCTTCTTGTTAAAATAACACATACCTGACACAGAGTCATCAGCCAGCCACCTGCAGTGTCTTCCATCTGTTTCCGATACACGTCCATGAGAGCGAACACCACGGCACACAGCGCTACTGAGCCATTCTGGATCACCAGAGATATACGCACGGCTGGACAAGAACATTTCAGTTCAGAAGATATATATAACATTTCTTTCAAACATGTGCATGGCAATCTAGTAGTGTTAACAGTACTAGCTAGTGCACTATACTACTATGAAATCCAAGAATTCACTCACTCACACTCACAATCTAGTAGTTAACGGTAATCTTTTATTACTAGTGCACTATACTACTATGAAATCCAAGAGCTCACTCACTCACTCACTCACTCACTCACTCACTCACTCACTCACTCACTCACTCACTCACTCACTAACTCACTCACTCACTCACTCACTCACTCACTCACTCACTAACTCACTCACTCACTCACTCACTCATCTGATCAAAATTCCTTTACTGACCTCTCAAACGAGCGGTTCGGTCTATCCAGTCACCAATGATGGCTCCTAACAGCAGTACAGAGATGGACTTGGCAAAACCGTAGATGGCAGTGAGCTGTAGAGAGCCTGGAGACAGGTCGATAAGGAACAGGGCAACAGCGAAGGACCACATACGGTCTCCCTATACAACAGGGGATAATATATTACAGGGTTATTAGTGCATCAACATATCAACTGTTCTTGTGAAATTCATTTGTGTATGTATATATAAATGTATATGACTGTCTCTTGTCACGAGATAATCACATCAAGTCATGTGACAAGAAAACTCCAAGACGAGATCTTTGTTGGGTGTTTGGTTATAAATATTCGTCAAAAGAATGTTAAACTTTCTTCCAACACAAAGACACATGTACAGGGATCAAATGTTCAAGGATTTCATCTTTCAATACCTACATTAATTTTAGATATGTCTCCTTATTTTTTGTCTTATAATTCCATGTTAGGTGGAAGGTATACATACCCATGTGGAGAGGGTGGCTTCAGTATACACCAGGAACTCTGTGCTTTTCACATAGTCTTTTACCCGATCTGAAATGTGGGAAAAAGGCAAAAGAATTAAGCATAGATTATAAAGAGTATCAGTGTATTGGTGTTCATGCAGGGCTCAAAATACTTACTTTTACTTTCTGAAATATTATATGACCATATTAAACTTCATATGATCATATACCCAACCAACAATTTGTACAACTCAATTTTAGGTTATTGCAATATTTGATAAATCATACACAAGATATGGAACCTGCATTCATTCCTTGGGATTGTAAAATCAATGCTGATAAAAATGCAAGAGGGTTGCTCATATATTTACTATTTTTGCAGGCTGAAAGTGGTCCGTGGATATTTCCAACCCTGCATATGGTTAATGCATGTTCTAAGTGAATTTAAAGACAGTGAAATGAAGGCTTCTGATTTAAGTTTTAACAACACATTGTACAGTAACAGGGGTATCCAAAGTCTGGTAGGGTCGAAAGATAAATTTACTTATAGATAGAAATGTATTTTCTCAGAAAAGATTCCAACTTGAAAATATACATGCAACCAGACGGAAGTTACATATATAAACGTTGGTACATTTTCTTAGAAAGATACCAACCTTTATACATGTAACCTTTAGCATGTACACATGATGTCTAAAGGTTGGTATTTTTTCACAGAAAAACATAGCGACCTTTATACAGTGTACAGGTAACCGGACAAAAACATGTGTAACCTTCACCTTGAACAGGGACATCAGGTATGTCAACATGGCCGACAATTGAGGCAATCTGAGGCTTGTATAAAGGTTAGTTTATTTTCTCGGAAAATGCACATGTAACCAACCTTCGGCCATGATCACGAGCTACTGGTATACACAACAATCAGATAACTGACTGAAAATTATCAATTAATTAATTATCAATTATGTGATTTTTGTGTATACCTAAGATCCTCAATCGTTGTCATCCATGGAGTGGATATAGATTGATATAGATTAATTCTATGTGGTTTCTTATACTTGTAACGTTATACACACAGCACTTGCACTTACTTAGCATGGTATCTATCGTGGTTGAGGCAGGCTGTCTTCGGGGTTTTAACAGTTTCAACTGTTGAACATTTCCCTGGTCCAGCCCAACAGACCGCCCTGTGTTATGAGTTTTGCACGCCAGGAGTTGATTTGGGGCTCCTGTCGTGCAAAACCTACCGGGGAACCTAGCTGAGTTGGGCAGGGAAGAGCTCCTGCAGCCCCGAAGGGAACCCACCCCAACCACGATAGACTGGACACCGACTATATACTTGCACTAAGTACTACTACACGCTACAGTAACCCTAGCCGCGGCGACTGTTGCAGGGCTTCTCTTGCTTGCAGTCTTTTACATTAGCCTGTTGTTAGGGCTGTTGTGGGGTCGTGTGGCGCAGCGGTAGCGCGTTCGGCTCGGGACCTAGAGGTCCCGGGTTCGATCCCCACCCATGTCACCGATCTTGTGCCCTTGGGAAAGGCACTTTACACGACTTTCCTCACTTCACTCAGGTGTAAATGAGTACCTAGCTTCGGTTAGGGACGTCCCTCGGATAGGACGTTAAATGGAGGTCCCGTGTTTGGGGAGAGCCACACCCCACGCACGTTAAAGAACCCACCACACCTTTCGAAAAAGAGTAGGGGCATGCCCCGGTGTGCGATGGTACAAATTCTACAATCCGGAGTCTTGCCAAGAATTGGCATGCCATAATGATCAATATAATGATCGTGGGCATTAAAGGAAAGACAAGACAAGACAACAGTCGCCGCGGCTACAGTAACCCCGCCCCTCAAGTAGAAGATGAGTATGTGCCTGTAAAAATTACTATTACCTGTGCATCCTTTTCCTTCTTCCTGGTCGTCAGAAACAAGCTCCCGCTCTGCCATGTCTTCTTGTCTTCCTCTTGTTTCTTGTTTTATAGCTCTAGTACCCTGTCATCTGTAGAAAACTCCCGCAACATTGCTGAACGTTCTGCAAACTTCTGTACGTGCCATCAGTTTATGTGTACTTCAACCCTTCGGACGTTGACCTTTAAACTTTTAGGTTAGCTCTTTTCCCCCGGGTAAAATTTTTGATGTTTTATTAGTGAATATACTGTTACATATTTATTCGTACATAATTTAGGTATTTTTAAATGATTTTCTTTATGTCTAATCATTGTATTCCTTTGTTGCAATGTTACGAAATAGATTTGTAAATTCCTTATGGTTTTATCCCTCCCGTTATTGCGTGCGTTTGGTAGCACCCATTACACTTCCGGCTTCCCCGGCTGATGACGTCGAACTTCCGGGTTGGTTCCTGATTCGTGTTTCGCCGGAAATTTTGGTCGGTTTTGGACAAGTTTTCATCGGTTTTCTCCTGATTTAAGAACTCTAAGTCTTCAAAAATGAGGCGAGCTGCAGCTGGTGAGTTGTGAATTGTCATGTTGCTTTCAAATTGCGGTGTTTTGACTGGTTTGTTACATTTTTATGGTGAATATTTTTTGGGGGGAGGGGGGTGCCTGCATGTGTCAGAGTCCAATTGGTTGAGGGACACGTCAGATGTTTTGAACAGCAGGTTGTTTTGTGCGAGCAATATTGTCATTTCGCATTGAGCAGGATTTGATAATTGTAGAAAAATTATATAATTTTACCGTTGATATGCTAGTATATAATTACTAAGGTTGGTAATTGGCTTGGCATATGGAAAAAAATGTCATATTATATGACCAAGCCCAAACACTAAAAGTTATATTCATAATCAAGCATGATTCAATTAATTAGTCTGTAAGGATCGAAACTTTCTCCCTGAAATCATTAAAATCTTGCCCCGAAAAGCCTGAGAAAGGTTTATAAGTTATAATCATAACATGTCAAAATGATTGGGTTAAAAATTATGTTGGGAAAAAAGATTTCTAGTTTCAAAACACAGCGTTAACTAATTAATAAAAATCATGGGCAATCATTATGCAAGTACCGTAGCATGCACTAAGAATAAGCTAGGTTTTCATGGACAGAAACAGCTTATTAATTGTTCCGCAGTCCATTCTTTCATCCATTCATTCATTCATTATGTTTACCGAAGGAAAACATATTGTTTTTGCTCAGTTTCTTCTTCTTCTTCTCCAAACAGTAACCTCTGACCTGAACCAATGTTGTGTCTGTTGCCTTGGTACTAGTGTTGGGTTACATCATGTTACAATTTCATTGCAGGAGGAATTTAGACTCCTGTCTGACCATATATATGAATGTATTTGAGTAAGAATTACCATTATGCAGACCATATGCAAAGGTAAATATTATGCATTTGCCTTGCAAATGTTACCTTTCTAGTTCATCCTTTATTCCACTACAGGTGAGGGCTATGGCCAGGCCACCCATCAGATGTATGAAGATGAGAATGAACAGTTGGTGGATGGACTCAAGGACAAAGTCTCTGCCCTGAAATCGGTACAGAACTAATTTTCTGAAAGGCTACCTCTTAAGGCTTCAGAAGCAGCTGGAAAGAGTACATGTAGATCAGAGGGCGTTGGCATTTAGTGCTAGCCAAATGGTGACTTCAGTGTATGTCCTAAAGGTTAAGGTTTCAATATTTATAAATGTAGTAATGTTACCAACATTTAAAGTACATGTAGTGGCTTGTGTTAATATCCAAGGTCTAAGTCTGAAAATTTAATGTGCTGATATTGACATGACATAATATTGTTGTGTTGCTACTGTGTTTACATACAGTTGTCCATTGATATTGGAAACGAGGTTCGAGAACAAAACAAGATGCTGAATTTGATGGTAAGTCTCTTTGTTGTAGATCTGCTCTGTTGGTTACTTAGTGGAAATAATGCCTAGGAAATTCAATGTGAAACAAGAAGTGATGCAGTTGTTTACTGTACAGAACGACTATTAACCATTACAAAATATATCTTTTTTACTTTTTAGAATGAGCTCATATGTAATACATTTGTGCATCTAAGCCATGTCTGATTTTGTCCAATTCAAGTCAGCAAGGTGACCAATTATTGGAATGATCACACCACTACACCATTCCTATCTTGGCCAAGGCCAGATTTTTAAAAACATTTCCTGTTCCTTTCCCAGGACAGTGACTTTGACTCATCAGGAGGTCTCCTTGGTGCCACGATGGGCCGACTCCAGAGGATGGCACGGGCGGGGCACAACAAGATCTGGCTCTATATGTTCTTCTTTGTGCTGTTTGTTTTCTTTGTCACATACATGATTCTCAAGTTTCAGAGATGAAAACTCTTTTACCAACATCTCAAAACAAATTTTCTCATAGTAGTGACTTTTACAGAAAAGTAATATACAGTGTTTGTGATTGCAAAATGTACAGTGTAATATGTATAATGTCCATATGCCATTATATGTAATGTTAACATCATAAATGGAATGTAAACTCAATAGAAAATTATACTCAAATTTGAGATGCATATGAAACATTACGTCAAAGTTGTCAGATATCATAAAGTGTACATGTACATGCCAAATTTCAACCTCAGAATTTGGAAAACTTTTGAATTATTGTACAAATGTGAAGAAATTTATAAGGAAAACTATAAGATATGGAGCATGTGATATTTGGAAGTAAAATTAAAGAAGTATTGTGCCTTATATTGTGCAAATATATTGGTAAGATATATGGTCATGAACAGGTCAAGATTTTCTAGCCTGGTTATGGCATTGGTCCCTTGGATTTCATATGAATGTTGCTCTCACACATCAAATGAAGGTGTTCTCTTCAGTTCCAAGGTGATATAGTTGTCATGGTGATATGGTTGTAGGACAGATGTGTAGAAGACTACTTAAGACCATACCAATTTAATTTTGAAAGAGCTTTATATCTCTTTCATCCCTTAGCTCTAAGAGATATAAAGCTCGCAGGGGGAGACATTGTATCAACCTACTCAGCTTACTGAAGGGAGACCTGAAGTGCAGAGGGCTAGGCCCTACCACAACAGAAAAGAAACTCAAGGAGCTTAGAGAGCTCGCGAGGCAGAAGGCAGGGTGGAAAGAGATGAAGAAAGACTGAATGCGGCTACAGGACATGTCCACACGACTGTAGACGCAGAACACAGTAGATGATGATGATGATGAATTTAATTTGTTTGTTCTTGACATTTTTGGTGTAAAAACAAGCCCTGGCAAATGCTCAAGTAACAAACTGTACAGTATTCAGTAATGTATGAACAACCTCGTGATTGAAGGCTTTCGACTAATAACTCATATTCAAAATAAAGCATTCCGATAACTTATGCCTGGAAGTATTTATTGGTCATTTAATGCGCCACATACAATGCAACATAATACTTAATTATATCATAGGTATGCAGGGGTCTTTTAAAGGGCTAATACCAAAATCTATAATTGATTACACGTAGATTACACTGACAAAAAAACTGACTCTTGTTTCTTCTTTGGAGTTTTCTCCGTTTAATTTTTGTCGACTGAGAAATAGGGGAACCACATCATGAAAATGTGGCAGCATACAATTGTATTTCTAGTAGGAAACATACAGACACGCATGTAAGATGGGAGATTCAGATAACTGATGATCTTGCTTTATATTTGTCATTGACGAGGTTTTACCTATATCTACACAGCACATCAGCAAAGCGTACTATGTCTGCACAAAGCACAGATTTTTCATGTTTTTGTTGGATGATTGGCTAGCGTTGCATCAGAAATTTGTCCATTGCAGACAGTATCTTTTCCAATACAACATTTGAAAACAAGAGGGAATGTCATCCGTAAGTATGTGTATATGAATGAGACATTCTGCCAAAGTGCTACACGTACGCACAATACATAACTGGTTTATGCAGGCACAGTACATTCTGCCCATGTGCTTACCTACACACCTAAATCTTTCACCAATACTAACACCTACCTCTGGCAATCTTTAGGTAAAGATTTACAGATCGAAGTAGAGGAGACAAGCGACTTGGAGGAATTTTCAGCTCTACAATTTCAGTACGCTTCGAATAATGAAATCTACTTTGTTAGCCTCCACCAGGTTAACACGGATAACATGTCAACAGAACTTGTCTGCTAAAAGATTACAGTTTGCTAAACAGATACTGAAAACTGTACTCCTCTAGGAGACCAATTCCCGTCATGTTATCTGTCTATTTGGGAAATTTCTACTCTTTTCAGTCATCTCTGAAGACCGGTAGAGGCTACTACTATATGTAGAATTTTCTGTACCAATTAAGTCTTATTGGAAGATATCCATAGCAGGTAAACATTGTCTATAATCACTTATCATACTCTACAGACCATTGGTATAAATAGCAATAGGAATGACTACTTCTGCATGCCAGAAGTGTTTTAGCGAGTAGCTATAGAAGTTTTCAGAACTGAGGACTGCTTTTCTTGGAACAGATCCAGGCAAAGTTGCTATGAGGTGGAAGGAATTAAAAATGCACTGCATTTGCTGGTGTTGGAAATTATTGTCTTAATCATTGATCACACCAAGTGTTGAAAAGTCTACTACATGTAATTCTGATATATATATATAACACATATTTCTTAAAAGGAACCAAGATCAATTTCAGGGCAGTAAAACTGGATCTTCTGGTCATTTTTACTGATATCTGTGAGGCAAAAATGTTGCTTATTTTGTATCATAGGCTGGTTGTAGCTACTTGCTAGTGGTACCCAAAAGTAAAGGGACTAGCTTAGTTTGGGGCTATTTCAAACACTTCAAGTATGAAATGATGACAAAAATGTGCTAGGAAATGGCAGTAAATGCCAATATTAGTCAGATTTCCTCATCCAGAATATTTTGTTTTGTTCTGCCACCCTGAAATTGCAATGGTTTCCTTTTATGCTAGTATCTGGGTTATAATGAACACTGCAGAATCGACTATGGGTTGCTGGAACTTGCTGCTATCACAGAAGGTGACTTGCGTACTGTTAAAATATACTGCAGCCAGTATATCTTTGACACCCCTATTTTTCCAGTGTTCTGGCCTGCACCATATGTCACATTGTACAGACCATACCACAAACAAAGCAAAATGGGGACAAAAGCACTTACATGAACAAAAAAAAATTATCACAATTTCATGACCTATAATTGCTATATTATGTGACTTTGGATTTCTATGATGCAAGAATCATTTTGTAGACTTGGAAATAAAGGTTTGATACAATGTAGAATCAGCAGATTTTTCTGATACAATTCATTATAAAATGCTAGCAGTATAAAATATCAGAAGATAATGCTAATCCTTTTTTATGTCTAACAGCCAGCTGGTCTACGGCTAGTTACGCTGTTGGAATGACCTTCCTCTGAAAAAAGAAAAACATGATAAATGTGAGAATCTTGAGTATCAGAATGTAACGTCTTGATATGATTCTTACAATAAAATTTCAAAACTTATCAAAAACAACCTCAATGTTTCCCAGCAAGAATTAGCCACACGGTGGGGCCCACACCCCAAGTCACAAGGGCAACTGAAGTTAAGTACGATGAGCAAATCATCACATGCCAATTTTTGTCCATCAAAGAAGATGGATTGGGCAAAACTATTTTGATCCCCGAGAATAGTAGTTGTACTGAAACTGAAGAAGATGTTTTTTGCTTACGTGATGGTCCTCTTTTCCTTGACGTTGTTCTCTGGTCTGGCACGGTTCAGGACTTTCAGGAAGTCTGAAGTCTTGGCTCTCATCCTGCTGTGAATGTACGCCTGGAAAACAGTTCAAACACAACTTCAGCTTATGCCTGTGGCAATAAATAGCAGGGTTGGACAAGTCCCATTGCCCACTTGTCCAGGGCAAGTAAAAGTACTGTTCGGGCAAGTAAATATCCCCCTGTACTTGCCCGATTGGGCAAGTAAATGTTTTGGATGCAAAGTTGATATCTCAGCAAAATTGATATTATATTAATGTCCTTTTGTCACAAAATCCACTGCAAGTCTCAAACCACATTATTTTGATAAATAAAGTATGCACTCTAAAATAAGATGCTGGTAGTAAAAATGCATAAAAATGTCGTGTATATTTTGGGCAAGTGAAAAGTTGGTTCGGGCAAGTGGAAATGACCATGTACTTGCCCAGTAGGGCAAGTGGATTTTTGAAAACTTGTCCAACCCTGAATAGTGTCCAATTTAAAGCCTGACTATACTTCTGATACCAACAATATGAGATACGTGACAAGATAACACAGAGACAGAAAGTTATTAACTAGTCCAGCTTTTCAAAACATTTTTTTCCTGGTAGGCACGTTTCTCATAAATTTATCATACAAGCAATGTTTAAAAAAAATTTTAGTCCACATCCAACCATTGACTTGACAATTCTCTTCACTATTTCAGAATGTTTATACAAACTCCTCAAACCAAGAACAATAGCAACTGCCTTACATACACACACAGAGAGACACACACACAGATACACAATTACCTTTGAGCACTTGATGTGGTAGTGAAGATAGTCTCTGAAGGTGTGGATCAGGTTGATGGTGTTGTCACGGGCAGCCTTAGTGATGTGACGGGGGTACAAAACTACAGAACAGAACAGAACAGACAAGGATCAACAACAAGTTAGCTATACATGTCGATATCCAGATAATCTCATAAGATAATTTCTCACACAAATATCTGTATTGGTATTGGTGTAACTGCTCTTCAGCATAACACACCAGCTTCGCAGGCACGGGGCACAGTGGTAGCTATATCATACCGAATGACTTGTTACACTCAATCTTTGCACATTTAATTGCAGGAGTTGTTTAAAGCTTTCTAGTTATGATGCCCCAACTGTGCTTGATAATGCTGATATATGAAGGCATGATTGTTTTTCGTTCTTTTCTGGGCCGGTATCAGATACTTAGTGGTTGGTACATCCACCAGTTTATTAGTCACTTTACTAATAAATAATTTTATGTGCCATGAAGAAGGGCCGTACCAAATGTGATGTAAGCGATGTTGTCTCCTGTAGCAGCGTCTGTCCCCTGCAGCTCCAGCGGAGGGTCTCGATGACTGTACAGGACCTGCGGAGCCTGGTGACTCGCTCGACGACCCTCTTTGAACTCCTGAAAATAAGTTACAGCAATGTTAAATGTCTTACTCCAATATTTGCACTATCAAGCAATTTCTGTTGACATCAGGGTTGAACAATCTTACAGTTAGAAATGAAAACTTGTGTCCTTTTGACGGCATTTATTTCCGTGTTTGGGAAACATTTGATGCCTTCTTTAGTTAGCTCTAAATTCAACTGAATCTTAGTTGATATAGTGTTACATGTGCAATATCGAAATTCGTGACATTTGATAAGTCTATGTGCATTTGTGAGAAAAAGGTATGTGCATATTTTCTGTAGTTTCTAAATCAGCCTTGTTAGTTGTATACCATTCTGAAATATATATAAAGGTATTAGACAATTTGTCAGGATAGTTAAGTTAAAGATTGTACAAACAGACAGAAATTGATTTATTATCTATGTACAAATGTATTCGATACTCAATAAAGAACAGAGATGGATGAAAAAAAAAAAAAAAAAGAATGAAAACTTTCTTTACTGTAAAACTCAGGGCTGTACAAATTTTCAAAAATCCACTTGGTTATATATTTGGCCTATTGGGCAAGTACACAGTCATTTTACTTGCCTGAAACAACTTTTCACTTGGAGTGCTATCTGCTCCAGTGCAGGTATGCAGAGAAAAAGTACTTCAAGCCCTGATATTCTAACTCACCTGCATGAAGACTTTGCCGATCACCACGTCATCCTCATCCTTGAAGACTGTACTGAAGATGACAGTGACTCGGTCTTTCTTCGCTTCTACATACCTGTGGAGGAACAGTTAAAAATCGTATTTCAATTCTAATATTCTTCCATAGTCTTGAAAGTACAGTCAAACCTAGTTTGTAGTACAAGTGACCACCTCTACATAAGGACCACCTGACCACTGTGACCACTTTATGTGGTGGTCCCTTGCATACTAGTAATTTTTCCCATGGACAGAAATATTAAGAACCCTGTCTATAGACTAGTGACCACCTGTCCACACAGGCAAGATTTTACCAGTCCCTTGACAAGTCTTCTTGGGCAGTTTTGACTGTATAGAATGTTTTTTTTAACAGCAAAGAATATCAAAAACTGTTAGTTGTGTTATTAGCAGTGTGAGGCTCTTAAATGGTTTTAAACACCTACATGGTTTCATCATCTCTGTAGTTGATGACTGCTCTCTCCTCCCCTTCTTGGCCCTCCTGTTGGAACTGGAAGTACTTCTCGAAGACCGAGGCGAAACAGTTCCTCTTGAGAAGCCCCGCCTTTTTAACTGCCTCCTCCTTATTCTCAGGGACATTTTCAAGGTCGAACAATATGGAAACATCATAACCTGGAAAAACAAAAAAAAGGCAATTTCCTGAATGTTTTAAGTTGAAACAACCCTATCCCATATAGAATATTGATATCTGTAATTGCTAGGCAAAAATATGATTTCACTGTCGGAAAACGGTTGCTTGTTTCATATTGTAGGCTGGTTCTAGCTATTGGTGGTACCAAAAGGGACTCTCTATGCAGCTTGCTTTTAGGCTATTTGAAATGCTTCAAGTATGAAATGATGACAAAAATATGCAAAGAAAATCATGTCAATATCAGAAAGATTTTCTCATCAAGAATACTGTTTTATTTTGCTGACATGAAATTGCATTGGATGCCTTTAAACTTTCAAATGTAATAACTTCTATACATGAAAATTCACCTGTGTTGGTAGTACCCATAGTAAAACGTTGAACTTTATTCCAACACAAAAATTATACAGAGATCAAATTTTCAGCTTCTTAAGAACTCTCGCGAGATCACGTTGTAAAGTAATTGGTCATTAATTATCCTGATAAAGGCGACAGTGATCACTGAAATTTGATCTCTGTATAATTTGTGTGTTAAAATAAAAGTTCAACATTTTACTATAAGCTCTATACATATCTGACAAGTCCACCCTACCTTGTTCTGTGGTTGTTATGAAGTCTCCGTACTCTCTCTGTAGCAGGCTGTCTGCCCCGTGCTGCTGAAGCTCCTTATAGAACTTGAGAGAGATGCTGACCATGACTTTGGTCTTGTCTCCGCCAGGGTTGGAGATGTGGTATAGGACTCCATCAAAATCTGAACATACAAATCAACACATGTAAATGGACTGCTCAAAAAAAAAAAAAACACATGTAAAGACAGTGAGGTTGAGTGCAAAATTAGCGTTTGTCCCAACCTACCTTATCTTAATTCTAGATTTCATTTAAACCCTTTTCAATGTTAGAGAAAAGAAGAAGAAGAAAAATTCACTTCCTCATATTTGATGGTAGTAATGTTGCATACAGAATCATAGTACCATTCTACATTCTACCATTCTATTTAGGTTCTGGTATTAATTGTATCATACCATTCACTTCCATAGAAAACTTAACAAGGGACTGTAAAGAACACTATATGCACACAAAAGTTTCTTTTTTTCATGAGCACATCCTGACATAGTTTGGAAGTACGAAGTATAAAAAGATAATTTGCATGTTCCGACAGACGTACCTGCTATTGTGATATCCACACTATCCGGCTTGTTCCTGTAGCAAAGAGATAACGTCATGGCAGGAATTTAGGACGTGACCGTCAAAAAATCACCACCACAAACCCGCTTTCATGTTACTTCCTGGATGTTCGCCCCCCTCCCCCATAACTTCCACACCCAACAGCTAGCACCTGCTTGCTTACCAAACCCTTCCTACAAAAACTACTACAAAATGCACTTTTCTCAACATCCACCTTCTTATACCATATCATTTAGGTACTTTTTCCTTAGTAGTATGCTTGTAAAAGATTTAAGATGCACTTTTGTTTGTTTAGCTGAACAAATACATGACTACTAGCGCCGAAAAAAAATCACGAGATCAGAAACCGGCTAGTCAAGATGCTTTGGCTCGCGACTCAAAACCGGAAGACGGGGAAATTTCTCGAGAAAACTCGTACTTACCCTGCCGAGGCATTGTCGAACTTCTGTCGTAAAGTGTCCTCGACTATTCTGTTGTTGATCTCTAGAAGGATCATGTCTGTTTCCGCGAGTTTTTAGCGAGTTCCTGGGCGCGGAAATGGCATGAGGGGAGGAAGTGCAAATGGGAGGTGCACAAAATGGCGGCGCAGTCATGTGACCTGATTTGAACCTTGACCCGCCGCGGCACATTCCTTTGGTCTAATGTCATTGAGAAAACTTCTTAAATGCTTCTAAAAATGTGTGTACATCTTCTATTAGAACTCTAAACTGTTTAAGGATGTGAAAAAAACCTAAACCGGTTCCCAGTTCCCAATACACAAAAGGTCATTGACCTCTTGCGATGGGCTGGCGTGTTTTTGGCCACGCCTCTGGGGAGGAGTCTTTAGACTCTCCTACTGGAATGAAGTTACGCCACGAGCAGGGTTGACTGGAGTTTTGTGCATTGGAATTTTTCTGTTGACCACTTCGAGATAAAGAGATTTTTTTTTCGGACGTAGTTTTTGAGTTTATATATGACTGGCTTTTGTGATTATGAAAAGAAGTCAAATTTCTACAGCATCCTATGATCTCCTAGCAGTTTACAATAACATGTAAGCCTAATTACCAAACCCATTTTAGCTCCTTTTAGTTCCTGGGTCATGCAAAAGCTATTTGAGAACACTTTTTAAAGCAAGATTATTGCAAACCGTTACATATAATGTTACATGTGTAACATTACATCAAGCAATATAACAGAAAAAGACTTAAAAACACCATGATGTGATAACCATAATTAGTTTAATACATTCATACAACCACAAATCAATGTGGTCAACCACTTTATTGAGTTGATGCCAGCTGTGACTAAAATAATTAGTCTATTCTTCATCTTCACTTGCCATAATTCCTTTTTAGACCATAGAAATACAACAGAATGTTTAATGCAGTCTGCAAATGTCAATAAGTACTACAAGACTTCATTAAAATACTGTAATTCCTGATTTGTTCACTGTACTGATAAGTTCACTGTTTTCACTGTCTCTTGTGTACAGTGAACTTATCATTACAGTTAACAAATAATTCCTGGATTTTCTTTTTCCTGAACTTGTCACCACCGTGAACATATAGTTACGTGAACATGTCCATTTTTCTCAGACCGTGAAATTTTGCTACCGTGAACATAAAGTGAATTACAGTATGCTCTTCATCCAAGAGAGATCACTAGTCTTAATACTGGAAAAATCTTCAGTTTCCTTCAAATGTATCTTATCTAAAGCTGATTGGTTTGAAGTTTGGTCATGTGATGAACTGCCCCTCTCTGATTGGCTGGTGGACTGTTTGGCAGTTGAAGCATCAATAGTGGCGCCATCGTCTTCCATTTCAGAATCGCTGGTTTCTGATTGGTCGTTCTTTTCTTCTTCATCAGAGTCAGACTCCATGTCTTCATCATCTTGCCTAAAAGGTAGAAGATTACAGGTTGATAACAGGGTATATGTATCAGTAAGTAAGTCTACAAAAGTATCTGTTCTCTATTCAAATTGTTTGTCAACAATTTGTCAAAACATTGACTGTTAACTGTTACAGTGTATAAACTCTAATCTTTCAAAATGCAGAGAAGACTTGCTTCATCTTCTCACTTGACTATCAGCAAGATTAAATTCATTTATTACTTCGTAACACCAAGGAGGCTTCTTGGTGACACATTTCGCAGCAACTTAAAATTCAAGATTTCTCTGTGTCTTTTGTTGTTTGAATAATAGTTTCCGGTGTTAAGTGTTTGAGGTCACCATAATTAAAAAAACACAAATTTGTTCAAGTCTTTGGCAAGGAAAGAGAAACAAGAGAATCATGTACCTTTCTGCAGATGATTTGGAAACCAGCAGCATCTGTAGGAAAGACTGGCACAAGGTGCTGACAGGTGGCAACACGTGGGCAGGTGTCTGAAGCATCTGCAACAACACAAAACACTGTGTTAATAATTGTACAACATGCACAACTATGTGGCACCACAAAATCTTTGGCATCTTTCATTTTTTAAGTTACGTTAAACCATTATCATTGTATACATAGACCAATACTTAAGACAATGGGTGCGTAACACAATGGTGTGGCCTGCCAGGGATTCAAACCCAGAACGTTCTGATTCTGAGTCAACAGCCCTAACCACATGTGACTACAATATGTGCCACACATGTGACTACAATATTGGAGATGTGCCTCATTTTGTCAATTGAGGAATTGTTTTGTGTAAATGATTACATTATGTAGCAGGACAGAGCTGGAGGGGCTATAGGAATGTGTTTGAGTAAGAATAAACAGAGGACTACATTGTAGTTTGTTAGTGTAGATCATGTGAAGGTTAACATCATACATTTGCAAATGTTTAATCTTTCTAGTTTTTGAACTAGTAAATCATCTCACCTGCTGCACGGCCACAGCTCCAGGTGTTCCGTGCTGGACTGGGGCGTGGCTCTCCTCCCCCTGCTGACCTGATCTCACCTGGCTCAGGTACATGGAGAATGGGGTGGGCGGCAGGTGGGACTCCAGCTCCTGAAATAAAACATTATAGTTCTACTGGGGCTTCACATCCCATACGGTGTATAAGGCAGTGCCCATCTTAGTTTCATTAGCCTTTAGGCCATACAAACATGTACAAGCACAGACTGACATAGCAGGGGTGAACTTGTGCCATGATGCAAATGCAGTGTTCTAGGGTATGTAGGTCTTTAAGTCAAAGCATAATAAATTCAATAGATAGAATAGATGACGCATGTTAAACTTCATTCCTTTATCTAAAATACATAGTTCCTACTTCAGTTACGTCCTTCCTTGTTTGTTGTGGTGCGTCTTTTTGCAGTGTCAGAAGGTCCTGTGGAATAAGAAAAGAGGGTTGACAATTCAGTACAAAGAAGCCAGAATTGGCAAAATTTTTTATTATTATGAGAAGTAAAATTGTATCAGATTAAAAGAATTATGCCAGCTAGATCACTGTTCTGAATGAATGATACACTTCTGCAAATAAAGTTTTATTCTATTTATGATATAGAAACACTGACCTGATCGTAAGTCATGAAGTACAGTTCCGACCATTTCTGCCAGGGGGCCTCGACTGCCTGCTCCCCGGATCCCTGGTTCTGCTTGGGGAAGAAAATGGCAGCCACCACGGAGCTCTGCACAACCTTGTTGTGTGTGTAGACAGGTTCAGGACTGGATGGCTTGAACACTGTCACTGAAAATGTAACATGTTTCTCTTCAATGATAATATTCCTTTTAAAAAATTGTTATTTTCCAAACAGGAAAAAGGTAACAAATTGTATATTATACCAGAAATACCTCTGTATTAAACACTGTGGTGAATACAGAATGGCTACTTGTAGGTTGGTACAGTAATATTACTGAAATGTACCAGTATGTAATGTATACTACACTCACAGTCAGATGTTGCTGAGAACACAGCCATGTACTCAGAGAGTGGGTCTGCCACCAAGACTGCACACTCACAGGACACAGTCCACAACACTGGGGGAAAATAAACATGAAGAGTCAACTCAGGATATCTTAATACGTTAGAATTATATTCCAAGAAAACTTTCAAAATGGGCTGTTGAAAAACATTTACCTTGACTAACTTCCAGTTAAAGTACATGAAGGAAGCTGAACTTGTACAACCATACATACATACAGATCTATAGGTCAAGGGACGATCTGATCTCTTAAGTGCTATCCCTTCAACTAGTTTTCAGGTAGAGGGTTCAGGGATTAAAAACTAAAACTTCTGAGCTTCTACTCTCATATATTACAACTGTCAATTGGAACAGTACAGGACTTACATGAACAGGAGAGTATGTTCCACACACTAAGGTTCGAGGGTGTGGTGGTGATGAGGTAGTGACTACAGTTGCCATGTCCAAACTTCACCTGCCTGGGGAAACAACAACACAAAAAAAAAATTAGGAAAGACCAGGTACAGTGGTGGACAGCAGTCGACTAGTAGATAATCTTATATTAAAAACTCTTTAACTAAATGGGGTTAGCTATGTTCACACAGGATTACAAGCTAATATGTGATTGGAGTACCAAGAAATATGTATATGTCCAGGTATTGAATGATGACTAATTGTGCAGTCATCATCATAGCTTGTCGCTATTTCTCTCTCTCTAATTGTGCAGTGATTGTGTCAAAGGCATCAGAATAATGTTACACAGTACAAATGTACTTGCACCCTTACCTGATGTTTTCCTTTTCTGTACAGAAGGTGTGACAGAAGGTAGTCTTAAGGTCTATGGTGTAAGGGTCCCAGATAGTGAGGCTCTGTCCAAAGGCCACAGCGAGGAGTGAACCATCTTCTGAGAAGGCCGCGTCCTTGGCTTCAAGGTCACGATACGTTCCGACAGAGTCACATGACCAGCAGACATTTTCTCCTAGAAAAAAACGTTGCATATACATAACTGTGATAAACACGTTCAGGACATATTATGTAGACATAGCTTCCACTATGTCTGGCGTCCACCATTTAGGAAGCATAACTCAAGATTGTGACATTGTATGTTGGGTAGGTTGAGTGTTTGGCCCAGAACCCATTATATAGACCCAGGAAAATTTTGAAATCTTGACCTTCTGACCTGAACTTTGAGGGGAAACTCTTAAATGGCATCTCTTTCCATATGCTTACATGCCAATTTCTGTCCATCAAAGACAGAAAACGGCATGATTGGCTGATTGGGCATAATTTGCATGCGTCCTGAGAGGCAAAATTCTATCATATGGAGGAAAGAGGGACACTGGCTAGAACACTGCTCTATTTCCACTTACTGTAAATATCTGTGTCGTCGATCAGAGTCCAGGTCTTGAATTTCCCATCATCCCCTGCGCTGACAGCTGTGGGAGGCAGGTCTGCGTCAGAGTGAGGCTGGAACACGAGGGTGTTGACCTTTCCCTGGTGGGGACAGTCCACCGTGGTGTTCAACTCAAAACTGCAACAGGGGAGAAATAGTGGGGATGGTTTGGCACATGCTACATGTAGTAACAAGGCAATCAGAGTGTGACAGACTGAATAAAATTTCTAAACAGGAATATTGCAGCTCCAGATGTCTTACTGAGGGACGACTGTGTGTGCAAGATGTCAGTTAGCTTGAGGATGAATCTCCTCTACTATATAAGGCAATCAGAGCAATTTACCCCCAAACCCTCTGTCCTATCAAGGAGGACAGCTCTAACTGAAGCTAAGGACTTGTTTTCACCTTGGTTAAATGAAGAAACAGGTGCAAAGTGCCTTTCCCAGGGACACAACAATGGAGCCTGCCAGGGATTGGAACCCAAAACCTTAGAAATCTGAGTCAACAACCCTAAGTGTAAGCTTACATTGCCACTGTAGGCTAGATCACCTTGTTACCCTACATTGGTATTGATGAAAAACATGAAAGATACATTATATTATTATGACTACTAGTATATCCTAACTTTATAGAAACCATTAAGGCCACAAAATATAATACAAACCTCTGTTTTTCCTTGTTGAAACTCCAGAACTTGAGTTTGACCTCCTCTGCCATCATACCGTCTGCCCTTCTCTCCACCGTGGCCAGCCAGTCTCCGCCCTGGTCAAACGCTGTCCTCTCAATCTCCGTGTAGACAACCTCGGGCGCTTCCCACGGTCGGCGACTACTGACGAAGTTCTGCCACACGATGTCCAGCTGGTGTGGAATAGAGTGTTCACATCAGTTTCATATTGTGTGATAGACCGTGTTTCTTTAGTTCTAGTAACAGTAAAAGTAAGCCAGGGCTTGAAATACTGCATGCCTACACTGGTGCAGGTGGCATTGAAAATTACCTGCACCAGACAAATTTTACCTGCACCACTTGGAATTTAGGAAGTGTACATGTAGATAACAAATAAGACTGTGCAGAAACCATTGCCATTATTTCTTTTATTATAATTCCTAGGCTGTAACAGTCAATGCAGCAAATAAAAAAACACATACACCTATGTGTATCTATATACCCAGTATATGGACCAGTGCAGGTTAGGTGCAGGTAGACATCACAAATACCAGCACAGCTGGGGACTATTTCCAGCCCTGCTAATAAACATGCTACTTAGTAACTCACATTGTAGAGGTGCCTGTCTGTATGTAGGTTGTACCACTGTAGATGCCCAGGTCTCCCGTTCAGTACCAAGGTCTGACTGCGAGGGTCCAGCAGGAGTCCCGTCGGTACCGGGTTGGTGGATCTGATCAACTGGGGGATGTGGACTGGGTGGAAAGAGGTACGGATGATGGCTTGGTTACATTCATTGTAGGCTATGACAGTTTCCTCCTGTACAACTCCAGTTTCATTCTTTGACATAGACTGGAGTTGTACACTCGAAAATTTGGGTAAGCATATTTTGGAAATAATAGTTTTAATTTGCTTCATAATTCAGCGGTGCTTGTTCATTGTTTTTCTTCTCATAGAGAAAGCAATGTGACTATTTACCTCTAGTAAGTCCCTGGAACACTTGAACCACTTTATTGCTCCTGGTCACTATTTGAACCACTGTGAGGAAAAAACAGAAAACAATTCAATGAAATAGTCAACAAATATTCACGTGGTATTACACTACATTGTCTTGGACCATTTTTTTATAATAGGGATGACCCTGGCAGTTCAATAGCTTTAAAAATGAAAGATTTTGCTTGTTCAGACTGCTGTTTGGAAATTGAGATTTCATGTACGTTCTTTCACCAAATGAAGTGTTCTACCTAAGATTTCCTTACCATTTTCCACCTGGCTGACTGCTAGAAGGCTGCCATCAGGAGAAGAGTTGATGTAACACAGCGGGGAGCCCATTCTGGGGAGGAAGTCCTTCTTCTCTGTGTTGTATTGCCACAGTACCAACACACACTCCTGTCCTACACTCATCAAATGGGTACCTGTTTATACAGAAAAACATATTAGTTCTCTCCATCTTGTATCATCAAAAAAGATCCATCCCAAAGCAAAGTGCTTTAACCTTCCCTATGCTAAGCTAACCTTTTAACAGCAAATTTGTATTGGTTCCAGGATAGTACAGCAGTAAGAAAGTTAAAAAAAAAACTTCTCTCAAACTGCACCAAGTGTTGTTATAAACATGTGACTGCAGTGTGCCCATCCCATTGGTCAAAGACTTTCATCGATCTCATTGGTTGAGTGCTTATTTGCATAAGTGATTGACAGCAGTGACTGACCTTCAGGAGAGAAGGTCAGATCTCCCACAGGAAGAGTGTGCCAGTGGTAGATGGTTCTCACAACTTCTTTCTTCTGAAACAGACCCCTCCTGTGGAAAACAGAAAATGGTTCAGAAGCTTTAAAATTAATGGCATCCGATGCAATTTTTTGGGAGCAAAATTAGACATCAGGCTGCACTTTACCTAGTACTTACCAGAGGAAGATTTTTCCATCCTGCATCCCTGTAGCGATACAGGCATCAGTAGGATGGCAGGTTACACACTGGAACTCATTTCTGGGTCTCTCGAATCTGCCAGAAAAGAAACAACATCACTGGATTACACGGTTTACTGGACAGAACTTTTGCTTGTTTGGCCTCCTACAATGTACGTAGTAGAAGGGACTGAATTTATTTAGTGAGATATATAGCTAAGTGGTAAACTCAGACTGGTGAAAGAAATAGCGATCAAACTGCCATGTATTGACAACAGGCAAGGTTCATATTTTAATATGTTTATAGCAGTGTAGTATACTCAATCTACAACACTTTAAAACAATGAAAATTTGTTTCCTAGATACCAGTTATCATTGTGTAAAAAAACAATGTGTTAATTGTGTCATTTAGTAAAGGTATTTGTTACTTACTCTTTGACTTTTCCACTCTTTGTGAAAAGTACAGTCAACTTGTTTCTTGTAACAGAAGCAATAAAAGAACCCTGAAAACAATAAGCAATTGTAGTGAGTAAACAATGTTAAATGTTTTAGCTGAAAAAATGTTACAACAAAATAAAAAAAATGATCCTTACAAAATGATTTAAGGAATCTTTTACACTAAACAACAACAACTTAAAAAACTTTAAACTTTAAACAGTAATGCATTAATTTTTACATACATGTATATCACAATCACCCACTAGGTAATTCTTACATTTATATAATAATAAAAGTAGTGTACAAGTACCTCTGGACCAAAGGCGAGATGTTTCTCATGTCTGGATACACCTCTCAGAACTTCCCTGGTCTCAACTCTGATGGTATGTCCTTTTCTATTGGTCCAGCTGAACTGCACCAGGCTAAAAGTATTATCTGTGAAGAAAAATGAACAAGTACAAAATGAATATCTCCAATGAACTATACAAGTAAATTAAATGAACCTATATGATACATGCAGATTGAAGAGAGGACATGTACTAAATACAACAAACACTTTTTCTACTTCTTAACTATAATTTATCATACAAGTACAAGTAGGCTTTACCTTCGTTCCTGATGACAGCATACCCAGCATCCTCTTCTTCTTTAAGCAGGTACAAGGCATGCACGGGGTAACCGACACTGAAGGTCTGAAGCGAAATGTCAACATTTCAATTCTTGTTCCTTTTCTTCCATAAGAGTGTAGAAAGAGAAGAAACCAAAGCTACAATAACAACATTGAAAGTTTTTTTTTTCATCATTGTAACATGCTGAGTTGTAATCCTGTAATTATTTACATACCTTGAGCAACTTGCCGTCTGGATAGTCCCACACTTTAACTGTCTTATCCAAAGAGCTGGTGAAGGCCTGAAAATACATTTCATGTTATATATCAGTATACAAATACTTTCACACATATATCTCTCTCTACTCACCTACTACTAGTAGTAACCTATACATTTACTATGAGAAGAGGTGAATAGTATGGACTAAACAACAGACAAAGTCTGTAGTAGTAGTTGTTTTGGCTGGGTAGTGACTGGGTAGCTGAGTTACTCAGCTTGACTCTACTCTACACTACAGTCTACTTTCAAAGCCTGGGTGGCATCCGTTCTGTAACTGGGCCCTTTGCACTTGTATATTATAGTAGAGGGGATTCATTCCTCAAGCTACCGACATCTTGCACACGCAGTCGTCCCTCAGTAAGACATCTGGAGCCGCATAGTTCCCGTTTAGAACTTTTATTCAGTCTGTCACACTTGGCCCTTTGCACTTGGTAACAAAACAGCTGGATCCCATAATCTCCAAGCAGATCATATGGTGGCAAGGCGGTATCCATTGTCCAGAGGAGTGTCCATTAGCCACCAGTGATCTGCTTGGAGATTAGGATCCCAGGCTATTTTTCCCTATGAAGTTAAGTGTACCTGGAACTGGTTGTGAGGGTTAATCTTGACCCCTGTGATGAAGTCTTTGTGTCCGGTCAGTTCTCGGACACACTCTCCACTGGACATGCTGAACACCTTCACAACAAACCCACAGCAACACAGCACATATCTGCAAAAAAAAAAAACACAATTCCATCTTTATCATACAAAGTTTGCAAGTCCAAACTTTCCGCCCCCCTCCCACATACAGAAAACGGCCCAAAAATTTGCGAAATCAAAAATTTCCGTCACAAAACCAACACAAAGTAATTAGGTGTATACTGAAGATTTTACCTTGAGTCTGGTGAGAAGACGGGCCTTTCGCTGACAAGATTAGCCCCGGCTTTTTGCACGATCGCCATTTCTCCATCCATGGACGCAGCCATGTTTTTCTTGCACGTGCTGAGATGGACGCTGCCATTCGAAATTTCGGAGAAAATCGTCAAAAAAATTCGACAAAATACCTCATTAACCGGCATATTTATTCATATTTATATGCCATATTATTTCAAAATCATGTAAAAGTCTTGTGTTTGGGTTTATTTGAAGTTTGAGTGGATTTTACAAGTCATTTTATGGTAGTGCTCCCTATGTTGGTAGTGGTATAGCCGAATGTCCCTAAGCTATCGTCTGACGACCGAGACGCGGGCGTTTTCCCCCAAGTTCTTCCGACTTTTCTGGACCAAACGGACGACAGATAACCTATCAAGATGGTTAAGATGAGGCCAGAGACCAAGGCGAGAGTACAGACGGTCGTCGGGATCGCCAAGACCATCTTCCACTGGGGATACGTTCCATTTATCATCTATCTTGGTGAGCCCCCCTCCCCCTTTTTTTTGAGGGCACAAAATTTTGACTTTTTATCGTTTTTCACGGCGTTTGGCTCATGTGGTTAGGATTCAACCTGATTAGGATTTAACCCCACAAATTGTGAGAAATAATTTCTCATTGAAAAATATGAAGGTGAGCCGTAGTGCTAATATACTTCGTTTAGTTTAAAAAAAGATGTGTGAATATTTGATGACCCTTCGTTGACCTCTAGCAAACCATTTATTTCACAGGCTTCAAGAAAGGAGCAGACCCAGGGATGCCAGAGCCAAACTTATTAAGGTAAAACTTATGCATTGTTTGTACTTAATGTTTTTGTTATTTTTTGTCACGCTTATATTACGTAATGCTTATATATAGTAATTTTTTGTATTGTTGGTTGTACTTTACATGAACATGTAAACTTTTCTACATATTTCCCCCCTATCTACAGTATCCTGTGGGCGTAAACTCATAGTATCTACTACAAGCATCACTCCAGATCAACATCTTGTCTGTCGGCCAGGAGCATCCAAAGAAGTTGGCAGAGAGGTTCAACATTGTTCTATCCTGCAACAAGCTTAAGCATTCATCCAATTCCAAGGACTTTCATCAACAGGACTACTGGACATTTTTGTCATGGGACTTTCCTCTCAGGCTGCATATTTTTTTGTGTCCAAAATCATGTCAAACAGATTATTTCCATTGTTCATACATTTTCCTCAGTTTGCTGCTTTCTTATTTTTATGATGTACAGAAGGAAAGCCTGCTGTTGTGAATAAAACAAAATTTTATTCCTTGTCTCAAGTCAATGTTTCATTTTAGTAATAATAGACTGTAGACTACTTTGCATATGCACATGATCTCCAAGCAGACCTTTGGGAGCAAAGACACAGCAGTTACTGTCAGACTGGACCCCAAATCTGATTGCAGCCCTGACACACACACATGACACACAGGCACACACACAAAGAATGACACAGAAAATATAGCATTGCAAATATAATTATATGACTGCTGAACTGCTGAAGAGAATGTACATGTAGTTGTATTTTTTACAGAAGAATGCAAAATGTCAACAGTTATCCATATGATTATGTTATTGATTATAGTGTAAACAGAAAAAAGGTATCAACTGCTGCTTTAAGTTAAACTGGTTATAAACTTAAATTCAGTCTTGTTCACAGTCACAGTTCAACAGTAGAGAACCTAAAGAAACTGCATAATTTTTTTTTCTATAAGAATGTATAGTAGTATTGAATTTCTTGTCCATTGAATACATTTACATGTAACATTGTTGAATTCTCTGTGTTAACTAAAACAGAAAGTAACGAACACTTATCAATTGCTTAGAAAACTATTGGGGTTTCATCTTTAGCCTCTGTTTCTTGAATATCCTCGTACACCATAGTCATTTTGTCAAACATCTTTTCCAGTAAGTTGTAGGTCTGGGCGTACATTTTCTCTCTCCACTTCTGTCGTAACTCAGGATCAACACTGTCGTAAACAGAAGGTACCGGTGGCTCTTTCTCTTTCGGCGGCTCAACTTTCTCGTGAGCAGCAGGGGTTTCTTTCTTCGGCGTGGCAGCTGGCTTGTCCTTCCCTTTCCCGCCTTTACTCTTAGGGCGCTCCTCCTTGTCTTTCTTCCCGCCCTTCTTGTCATCCTTCCCCTTGTCCTTCTTGGCATCCTTTTTGTCGGGTTCTTTTTCCTTCTCCGGCTTCTTGTGTACGATTTTGTGGATGGGCTCCACGTGGACAGGCTCAGTGTGGAGCTCAGGCATCCCCAACACACCACAGATGACGGCAGCAGCCCCAGCCATGTTGTCAATGGTATCCTGCAAGAGTTCGTAGGTCACCTGGCGCATCACATGCTGGACTGGAGCAGACAACGGCACGGACATCTCCATCACGATATCGTTCATCCGCTTCAAAAATTCTTCCCTCTGTTCGTCTTCCTCGATTGCAAGGAGCTGTTTCTTGAGGTTCTCCAGGGAAAGGTCCCACTGTTGGGCCTCTCTCTCCTCTTCAGGGTACAGCTCTTTGTACAGCTCTTGGACCTTCTGTACGGCCTCAAAGTTCCACTTGACTCCTTCATTCTTCCTCAGGAAGATCTCTTCTTCGGTGATGTAAGCATCTAGTGGCGACCGTGCCCGCTCCGGTGTTCGAACCCCCTCTAGGATGCTGTGCAGGATGTCGGTAACCCCCAACACAGCCTCCTTGTGAGCAAGCTCCTGTTCGAGTCTCACACGGGACTCCTTGTTCACATCATCTTGGATTGCGACGCCTCGGAGGGTGATCTGTATGGCTGCCCCGCCGCAGAGAACCGGACTCGTGTGTAGCTCCCACAGCTCAGTGAAGATCCCGGCATTCTGCGACTTGAAGACAAACGGATACTTCATGCTGTCTCCCGGCAGGATGACACCACTGTTGGTGTTGAAGTAGAAGCGCTGCACGGTGTCCAGAGGTTTGCAGTCGAAGGCGTTCTTGATGGGGATCTTCCTCCAGTTGTAGTAGACAGCTGTGGTTCCGTTGTTGGTCAGCTCCAGGAACTGCAGCTTTCTCTGCGCTGTGTTGGCTTCGAAGGCGATCCTACAGGAGATGCCCACGCCACCTTTCTCGGAGTGGTCGTCTCCCGTCCACAAGGCGTAGTGACCGCCGACGATCATCGCCGGTCCAACAATTGGTTCCTCAAACCTGTCGGGGTAGGCTGCTAGAGGATCGTTGGTTGTATCTGCTGTCTCCATCGGCCTGATGTTTTCCTTGTGGTCCCCAGGGACATCAAACTCATCCAAGTCTTCTTCGTCATCGATGGCAGTCAGGACTCCCTTGTTGGTCCCGATGATCTCCAGATTGTCAAGATCGGGTCGTGCTGGGACCAGCTCCTCCATAAATGGCTGTAGCTGCTTCTGACGGGTCTTCAGATAACCCGATCGCTCCCACTGGAAGCTGGCTGTAGACTTGGTGGGAAGGCCTTGCATGCCTGTTTCTCTCTTCACAAAGTTGGGCTTGCCCACGTGCTCAAAGGGCGGAGGGTATCCTCTCTCTGTTTGCGTCAGGGTCATGTTTAAGCCTGACAGGTCGTCGCCAAGCCTTTCGTGTTGCTTCCAGAACTCGCTCCCGACACGATACCCCTTTCCGTAGTTGATGGCGGGCATGGTGCGGTCGATCAGGTACCGCTCCTCCTGGGTCTGGCGGTAGGTCTCGCTCTGGTTCATCAGTAGGGTGTCGGTGGAGCGCTGCAGGAGTTTGGAGATGAACCCCTGCTGGCGCTTGCGCTCTCGCATCTTGTTCTCCCAGTTGCGAAGGGCGTTGCTCTCGTCGTCCGCAGGCTTGCGTGCCCTCCTCTGTTTCTTTTTCTTCTCATACTTGATGGAGGGTGATGTGGCGGTGGTCATGTCCAGGTTTATACCAGGTGGAAGGACCTAAGTAACAAAACATATTGAGAAAATGTTATAATCGAAAATGCAGTGTCAATTTTGAGCCTGGCATTCATTTTGTTAGTAACAGAATCATCAAGATATGCATCAAAATATGCTTCAGAATAATGCTCAGGAAAGCTGAATGAGGAAGTGAATGTATGTGGCTGAAAATTACACTTCCACTGACCCAGGTACATTATACAGCTAATGATAATAATAAATAATGTAATGAATAGGAAAAAATTAAGTAAGTACAAACCTCATCTTCCTCTCCCCTTGCAATGGCCTCCTGTTTGAAGTCGTCCACAGAACCCAGGATGGTGTGAGCCAGGATGTCCCCAGTCATGTCCAGCCCGGGCCCACCTGTACAAAACATGAGAGAAAATCCAACATTATAGATTAAGACACGTTCCACTTTGACACACAAAGATTTAATGATGTCCATATGGAAATGTGTACATGTAGGTGGGTCAGTAATTCTGAGTGTAACAAGTCGTTCGGTGTGATATAGCTAGCTGCCGTCACGCCGCGTGCCTGCGAAGCTGGTGTGTTACACAGAAGGGCAGTTATACCGCCTATACCGATACAGATATAGATACAGAAGAGAGGAAAATGATGTGAGAAAATGTGGTGAGTGTACAGAAAGCGGTTTTGAATCTTCTTGGTTCTGAATGTTTGGCAGGCTTTAGTGATCGACAACACTTTAGTGATAGCACTTTGGTAATTGACAACTCACCTGCTCCCATGTAGTCGGTAGGTTTGATTGGTGCATCGTACGGCGCAGGGCGAGCGATGGTGATCTGGCGGAACTTGATCCGAGCGGGATCATCCGGCCCTCGGAGTCGCTTGACCATGATCCTGTTGGATCTGGCCGTGCGCTCCGTCTCGGGAGGGGGTTTGGGAACCCGGATCTTTGTCAGATCTTCTTCCCTGGGATATAAACAACAAGGAGATACTGTTTTAATTCATATACAGTATTATTGGAAATAATACAATTAAATGTTTATGACATGACCTTCAATGAACACTTAATGCAATACAAAATGCAATTTACCCAAATGATTGAAAAGTCATTGAGTTTAACTACTTTTAGCCATTAAGAATTGAACATTATTATAGGATTGTACTAGTCTACTCTGAAATAAGGAACATAAATATATATTACATGTTTAAGTAAAGAATTCAACTATAGTTTGGTATACTGTTGTTAGGGAAGTGTTGACAATTAAATCCGATGTTCTAGAATAATGATATAACATTTCCCTCTGGTCATAGTGTATGTTTTGTGTCAGTTTCTTTTTTCTTCTTCCAAACTCTTTTTTACCTCGAGATTTTCCATGTTTCTGCCAACTTCTTCTGACTCAAAAGTAGTTAAAACTCAGTGATCCACCCTAATCGTACCGTTGCGACAATATTATCACACAATCCCCAACTAGCTTTTACACCAAAACTTCCATCCATCCTTAGAAATTACTAGAACCTTTCACAACAAAAGCAACGTCTTCATTCCCACTTACATTCGGGGAGAAAGTCGCTAGTGTCCAAGATTCACAGAAAACTCGGTCATAAGTTCGAAGTCAAAATGGCGGACGGGTCTGTATGTTTACGCTTTGTTTGGGAAGAAATGTTGACCGTAACAGTTATAAAATGGGTACAAAGAACATCGTCATGGCTTGCTAAGACATTCATTCTTACCTTATCTGCAAAGCCTGGATGTCTTCTCCATTTATGACGTTTTTGGCGGGGCCTTCTTCGTCCTCCATAGCGGTGTTCGATTGGTTGGGAGAGCCGTTCAACTTGTCTGGCGTCCCGTCTCGGTTCTTTCTCCTTCCCGAACTCTTTGGCCGGTCTTTCTTTGACGGCCTGACCGCCAACTTGCTGCTCATTTTGTTCGGATGTTTATATTGTAACCAAACGTCCAAGCAACCGGAGAAATTCTACCCAGAAAGCGAGGAAAAGATACGGTCCGGGCGAAAATCTACACCGTGCCAACCCTCGGTAACTATGGCGGCCACTGTACACAAATGTTGACCTTTGACCGAGTAGTATAGACGGCGCATTTCAAATCTTACAAAATGGAGGAACTGTTGCGTCACAAGCTGTAGAAACCACAGTGACAATGGTTTGTGATATCACAAGACAATTCGTAGTAGCATTTATACTCTGTGATGCCATAATAGATTGTATGACTAATTATTCTCGCATTTAGCGTCACACTATGGCAACCGAATGTTTCAAAATGTTTGTGACATTCGGCGGGACTGGACGGGAGTTTGGCTGGTGGTTGGGATAGGGTCGGCAGTGATCGTGGCGTGGTTGGCATTCAAATTTGACTCAAAGTTTAACCCAAACTCGATTCGTATTGAGATGTAGGTGTGGCCTAAATCTGGACAGACTGCTCCTGAACTTCAACTAACTTGGTTGGTTGGTTGGTTGGTTGGTTGGTTGGTTGGTTGGTTGGTTGGTTGGTTGGTTGGTTGGTTGGTTGGTTGGTTGGTTGGTTGCTTGGCTGGCTGGCTGG